TTTTAGCTTCTTTTATTTTAAAAATTCCTTACGAGTTAGTATACGACCAACAGCTAAGAATATGAATTCTGACTTATCAACGATCGTCACAATAGGTACTATCTTGAGGTTATCTTGAGATGATTTCGGGGCTTTTTAGTGTCCCCGCGGCCCGGTCCTCGACCAGGCCTCCACCCCCAGAAAGCAGCCCGTGACAGCTGACTAACACCCAGGTACCTATTTTACTGCTAGTAACAGGGGCATAGGGTGAAAGAAACTCTGCCCAATGTTTCTCGCCGGCGCCTGGGATCGAACCCAGGACCACAGGATCACAAGTCCAGCGTGCTGTCCGCTCGGCCGACCGGCTATCTAAACAGGAGGATGGGTTGATATATAACATGGTGTCAATATGAGAACAGAGGGGCACTAAGTGAACGATGTCAAAGGTATCAGATTCACCAAGGATTCTAATGAATAAACAACTATGAGTGCAAGACACTCTATCATCCTGAAAATCAAGACAATCTACAAGGAGGTGCATGGCTGTAAGTGTGACAATGCAATTTAGACAAATTGGAGCAGAATGTCATTCCATTAAGTGGCCTTGAGTTACGCAGGTGTGACTGACACACTACATAGGCAAAGCTGTTTCCCATTGCTTAGTATTATGGTAGGAGGAAGGTTAAGTTTAGGAGCACGTAATTTATTATCTTTAATGCCAGCCCAACGGTCATGGATTGCAACATGAATGAACAGGTAGAAATCTTAATGGTAAATCTCTCTCTAGGAAATGTCGCAAGCATTTGGGAGCCAGTCGGCCGAGCGGACAGAACACTGGACTTGTGATCCTGTGGTCCTGGGTGCCGGCGAGAAAAATGGGCAGAATTTCTTTCACCCTATGCCTCTGTTACCTAGCAGTAAAATAGGTACCTGGGTGTTAGTCAGCTGTCACGGGCTGCTTCCTGGGGGGTGGAGGCCTGGTCGAGGACCGGGCCGCGGGGACACTAAAGCCCCGAAATCATCTCAAGATAACCTCAAGATAGCATGAATAGCCTCCATGATGGTGGCATCTGTGAATTCATTTGAGGTAACTCAAAATATGGCAGAGAACCCAGAAAATTTTACTGTCTTGTATCTGCCAGAGATAAAAAAAATGGCACATTAAATTTCGACCACCACAGGATGTAAAGGGTTAAAAGATAAAGGTAAAGGGTTACCTTAGTCATGAGGGTAATGTGAGACTTTACCACAATGACAAATGAACGGTGATGTTGAGAAAGCAGCTGATGAGCATACAACATTGGATAAAGTAATACCATGAAGATGCTGGTCTCCAGGGGTAGGTAGCATATATTTTTTTTTTTTTTTGAGATATATACAAGAGTTGTTACATTCTTGTACAGCCACTAGTACGCGTAGCGTTTCGGGCAAGTCCTTAATCCTATGGTCCCTGGAATACGATCCCCTGCCGCGAAGAATCGTTTAAATGTTCCATTGTTCCAAATATATGTTCCATTGGGGGAAACAACAGAGAAGCCAACACAGACTTTGACCCATCAGTGAACAGAACACTGTAGTGTGAGTGAGGAAAAAATGTTAAAGGAAAATGCTTTTTCAAAACAATGGGGAAAGTATCTGCTTTCACCATATGGGGTAAGGGTCTTGCAAAATTTCACAGGTGGGGTTAGGGGTGGGCGGAACACCCTCATTTGCTCCTTGGGGACCAAGTGTTATCTTGAGGTTATCTTGAGATGATTTCGGGGCTTTAGTGTCCCTGCGGCCCGGTCCTCGACCAGGCCTCCACCCCCAGGAAGCAGCCCGTGACAGCTGACTAACTCCCAGGTACCTATTTACTGCTAGGTAACAGGGGCATTCAGGGTGAAAGAAACTTTGCCCATTTGTTTCTGCCTCGTGCGGGAATCGAACCCGCGCCACAGAATTACGAGTCCTGCGCGCTATCCACCAGGCTACGAGGCCCCCACAACACGAGGAGAGATGTCGCCAACGTGAACCCAGAGAATAATGCAAATGAGCCAACAATGCAGGAAATGAAAGGCAGTGAGAGGGAACAGAGCTCTTCCCTTCCAAGAAGCAGTGGTCATAGCATGGTACAAGCAAAAAGTTGGAATGTTGCAAACCATAACAGAAAAACTACTTGCCAGTATGGTCTAAAACCTGGACCAGCAGGAACATATCATGGGGAAGACGCCACGCACCTTATACATACTCCCATCTCCATAGAGACGTTAGAAAGATTTTTTTCAGAGTATTAGACAAATGGAATGCATAAGGAAGTGATGTGGTGGAGGCTGACTCCATACACAGCTTCAAGTGTAGATATGATAGAGGCCAATAGGCTCAGGAACCTGTACACCAGTTGATTGACCATTGAGAGGCAGGACCAAAGAGCCAGAGCTCAACTCCCACAAGTACAATCAGGTAAGTACATACAAAACAACACAGGACCCCACACCTGGAAGGGAAGAGGAGGCTAGGGTGGAGTAGCAGTGAATAGTTGCGAGTAAAGAGTGGTGGTGATATAAAAGGAAAACACCTCATGAACACCACCAAAGCTACTCCAACTAGGACAAAAGGCAGGGAAGGAAGGGCAAGGAAATCACAGGAGGGCACAAGGGAACCCTATACCACACAGGCTATGGCCAGATCAAAAGCAGTTGGTGCACAGAAGCATCTGAACGAGGAGGAGTGTAAACAAAGAATTACCACTGACACACACACACACACAAAAACCAATCAATATCTCAAAAACTCGCCCCCAGCGAGTCTGGGCTTGATGGACCATCTCAAACCACACCAAAGACTGTGGGGGCTTACCAGGCCATGAAGGTGAAAACCAAGCAGGGATACCAAGAACAGATTCCTGATCCAGCCAAAGTGAAATACATAGTTGTGAAAGGTGTAAGCAATATGCCATAAAACAAGCATATGAACTCCTCTGCACTCAAAAAACTAGACTGTCCCCCAACCCTGAGCCTCACAGAAGTCACAGTCCCATGCACTATACAGGAGGCTGGCCTTTCACAAACACACACATGAACCCAGCAAGGAAGGGAACCCCTGACAGAGTAGGGGCAACACTATCACCCATGTCGTTAGCCAACCCAAGGCACATGCAGCTCAAGGTGAATAGTGTCTCAGAGGTCACACAACAAATGAGGCATGCAAACATATGCTTGTGAAGCTAATACTGTAGAATAATACAGAAACAAATGGCCCCTGCAGAACCTAAGTTCAAAGGATGACCAATCTTGAGGTTATCTTGAGATGATTTCGGGGCTTTTTAGTGTCCCCGCGGCCCGGTCCTCGACCAGGCCTCCACCCTCAGGAAGCAGCTCGTGACAGCTGACTAACACCCAGGTACCTATTTTACTGCTAGGTAACAGGGGCATAGGGTGAAAGAAACTCTGCCCATTGTTTCTCACCGGCGCCTGGGATCGAACCCGGGACCACAGGATCACAAGTCCAGCGTGCTGTCCGATCGGCCTGACCAACACTTACCTAGTAAAATTGGAATCTGAAGGATAACGGAGACTGGAGGAGCAATGTTAACACTGAGGAGCTGCATGGCTGATCTGAGTTGTTTACATTTTAGATGCTGTTTTCTGTTTTGTTTCACTCTACATTTCTGGTATCTTATTTCTTGGTTAGGGTTATAGTGAATCTTCTGCGCTCTGTAAGGATGCCAGGTTTAGGTCTGATCCCTAGTAGGCTTTTTAATAACCACACAAGGGTCTAGTATGACTTGCTAGCAACAGCCGGCCACCTTGGAGCCACCCCATAAATGATATACTGTATTGTATTATCCGTTCTCTGTATCTCCCTTCCCCATCTTCTAAACTTCTTTTTAGACTTAGCAGAGTTGTTAATCATTCTGAGTGATTTATAACAAGAAATTCTCTGGGAGCAATTCTCTTATTAAACCCCCTTGGCTGCCATTCAAGACCCTTTATCCTCTCTTAATCCCTGCATGTTTTAATTTTTCTGGTTATGCTTCTACTATTTCCCACTACCTAAATTGGCAGGTGCTGATGCAATGTCCTCCTAACAGAACGTCGTACAGTATTTTGACGTATGCTCTTACCTAAGGCCAAAAATTGTCTTACTAGATAACGTTAGCGACTCACAAAATTGACATACTGCCCTGTTTTCTGTTTTGGGTCCTCTGGTAGGTTAGGATAAGGGCACTTTAGTACGACAGTTTCTTGACGTTGAGAAACGTTAGGAGGACGGGCAGGCTGATGACCTCCATAAGAGAGGGACCTTCTTCATTCTCTTCTCCCTCAATTCTTTACCTACCCCCTCTTTATCCCAGCAGTATTTTAACAAGGTCTAAGACAGCAACTAAATAGTTTACAAGAAAAAATTAATTTTCATCTATACTCAAAAATAAATGGATTAACAAGATTCCCACTCTCCCTATCTACTATCTAGTGAACCTTTAGGCAGGGGAACGGGTCTGCATTAACGGGCTTTTGTTTTATATTATATGGTGTAGTCGTGTCAGTCAAATATATATAGATAATAATATAAAAGCTGCAGGAACACGCAAGCCATAGATCACTAAGAACTCTGACCCAGCCAGGATTCGAACCCATGCTGTCCAGGATCACCCCTAAACGTACACAGTATCATAACCATCGCACCAATGATTGTCTAATTGGTGCATCTTAGACGATAATTGGTGCGGTGGTCACGGTACTGTGTACGTTTAGAGGTGATTCTGGACGGCATGGGTTGAATTCCTGCGGGAGGCCAGAAATGTTTGGGCAACGTTTTTTTTCGTGTGGTGAGTGTGTTGACCTAGCAGTAAGAGGTACCCAAGAATTAAACAACTTTGTGGGGTGCACCCTGAGGAAGGTCACTAGTTGTCCTAAAGGGAGCTATCATAAGCTAGGAAGGCTTCTTGTTCCTGATTATGGGAAAACCCTTATGAACAAATACTTAGTTTAGGAAGGTAAGTGGAACTGTCTATTATAAAGGTCATTAAGAAAATAAACATGTGTATTACCCACATTTAATCAAATCCACACTTCAAAATATTTTATAAAGGTTATTGTTTCAAAAATATTTTCTATAAATCAATTAAATTTTATAAAACGCAATTTCATTTTTTACAGATCTTCAATTCTGAATTTGTATATTAAGCAAGAAATATTACACTGTTGGTCTTAGGAGTTGGTTTCTCATGAACTGAAGAAGCTGGTTGAGGCCATCTTTGCCAGCTGAGCCATCTAAGTAATAAGCCTCCATACTGACGAGTGCCCCTGACTGCTTCATTTGCAGGTTGCATCTTAGAATGCATTCAAGTCTTTCCACTTTACCCGTGTTTAACATCGGCTCCTCTCGGTCTTGGATTAATTTCGAGCTTTGTTGTGCATGGTTGTGAGGCGTTGTGGCTTGAGACTCGGTGTCTGGGCTGTTCACACGAAGGCAGGAAGCCTGGCAACTGGACATAGAGTGCTCAGCCGACACACCATCGCCACATTCATTTGTCTTCGTATCACTATCGTGGTCTCCACCAAGTTGGTCTTTACTCATCATTTGTTCTTCCATATTTTCTACACAAGTTTCTTCCATTGTATCCGTTTTACTTGATATCGTACTATTTGCACTTTCGTCAACTAGTGAAATATTGCCTATCTCCTCATCTGTAAAGAAAAAATAACATTTACTAAGTGAAAATAAATTAATGTAGAATTAAAATAAAGTTACTTAAATTATTTCTTATTTACTTACTTTTTTTAAACTACAGTGTAACATTCCAAAATACAGCACTGATTGCAATAAATGGGTCTTTCTGGCGAGTCCCTTCTGTATCTCACCAAATAATCAACCTGGAGTTCTCCCAACCTCTGTACCACACCAGAGACTATCAAATCACAAAAGCCCCTCAATAGAGGCAGAGGAAAGTGCGGATGCAAGATCACATTACCAACGAAAATCCCAACAGAAGGGCACCAAAACCGGCAACTTTTGCAACCCTGATTCCAGCTATCTACACAGTCATTGTCTATGTCCAACTGCTAGTCAAATCTACTTCCTTGCCGCCAGATGCAACAATATCTGGCATCTTAAGCTGCATTATATTGTTAAGCTCTAGCATTTTGTTTTATCTCACTCCATCAATGTTAATATTTATGATTTTCAGGAACGTGTTCGAAATCCTTATACCCTCTACTTCCCCTTTCTCTAATTACTGTTGGTTTGTTTTTAATACCATTTTATAGACTTCCCTATTACTCTATAGAAAAAATAATTCTTCATTCCTATTCTCATTTAAATGTTTTACTTCAAGGAAGTTCAGTTTCAGCTTCTCTGTCTTCCTTTGAAAGATCTCGATCTTAATGACCATAATTTACCATCCTCATCATTTTGTAACTTCGTGTGTGTGTAATTACCTAAGTGTAGTTACAGGATGAGCACTACACTTGTAGTGTCTCGTCTTCCCAGTACTCTGTCATATGATGCTTTGATGTTGTTGTTGTTTCAGATTTAGCTACTCAGAACGAAGTGTCCATGTAGCACGGGCTATGGTGAGCCCGTAGGATGCTTTGAGACTACTGACGGTTTTGGCTTCCACCACCACCTCACTTAATTAACTCATTCCAATTGTCTACCACTTTGTTTGCAGAAGTAAACTTTCTGTTGTATTTTCAGGAGTTCTGATTCCTTAGTTTGAATCTATGTCCTCTTGTTCTTGAAGTTTTCAAAAAAATTTTTTTTTAAATTTTATAGATCCCTGTTACTATTTTGTATGTCATGATCATATCACCTCTTTTTTTTTTTTATCTTCTAGCTTTGGTATATTTAACCTAACTCCATAGCTCTTATTTTTCAATTCCGGAAGCCATTTAGTTGCATGCTTTTGCACCTTTACTAATTTCTTAAAATATGGGCATCATAGAAGTGGTGCATATTCCAATTTTTATCTCACTAAAGACATGAATAATTTCTTTAGTATTTTACCATCCATGCATTTAAAAGTGATTCTAAAGTTGGACAGTGTAGCATACACTCCTCGCACAATGTTCTTTATGGTCCTCGGGTGACAGTTTTATAGCCAGAACCCATTTCCTCCTATTTCACAGTCGTAACCTTGAGGTTACCTTGAGGTGCTTCCGGGGCTTAGCGTCCCCGTGGCTCCGTCGACCAGGCCTCCTGGTTGCTGGACTGATTTTGTAATGTGGCATTTCTTCACATTAAATTCCCTCGGCCAAGTGTTGCCCATACAATTATTTTGTCCGGGTCTTTTTCAAGGGCATGATAATCGTCTTAAGTGTCTTATCTCCCCTAGTAGTTTAGCATCATCAGCAAACATGTTCATATAATTCTGCATTCCTTCTGGTAGATCGCTTATATAGACAATGAACATTACTGGAACTGGACACCAGTAATGTGGTACTCCACTGGTAACACTTCTCCAGTTTGAAAGATTACCTCCGATTACTGTCCTCGTTTTACTGTCTTCTATAAAAATTTTAATTTATGTCAGACGTTTCTCTGTTACTCATATCTTGAGGTTATCTTGAGATGATTTCGGGGCTTTAGTGTCCCGCGGCCCGGTCCTCAACCAGGTCTCCACCCCCAGGAAGCAGCCCGTGACAGCTGACTAACACTAAGGTACCTATTTTACTGCTAGGTAACAGGGGCATAGGGTGAAAGAAACTCTGCCCATTGTTTCTCGCCGGCGCCTGGGATCGAACCCGGGACCACAGGATCACAAGTCCAGTGTGCTGTCCGCTCGGCTGACCAGCTCCCTATTTGGAACAGGAACAGGAACATGCAGCATGTTCCTGTTTCCAAAACAACTTCTTGTGTGGGACTCTGTTGAACACCTTTTTTTTTTTTTTAGGTCCAGATAAATGCAGTCAACCTAACCATCTCTATCCTGTAAAATTCCTTTGGCTATCATTGAAACTAAGTAGATTTTGTTACACAGGATCTTCCTGATTGAAAACTAGACTGACTGTCTATCTATTATATCATTTCTCTTAAGGTAGTCTACCCATTTGGTTTTAGTTTGTTTTCCAAGTTTGCGACTACTACTATGATTGTCAACAATACAGGTCTATAATTAAGAGTCTTCCCTGCTACCATTTTTTTATACTGGTTATCTTGAGAAGATTTCCGGGCTTAGCGTCCCCGCGGCCCAGTCCTCGACCAGGCCTCCTTTTTGTTACACACAAGATGCGAGAAACAACTACACAGCAGTGAGGAGAGAGGCAGAAAGTAATTTTGAATACAAATGTTAAACAGAACCAGGTCTATTCTATAAATTCATATATAACAAATTGCAAGGAAAGGATAATATTCAGAGGTTGAAAATTGGAAATAGATTCACAGAAAATGAAAAGGAAATGTGTGAAACATTAAACGAAAAGTTCCAAAGTGTGTTTGTACAAAATGAAATCTTCGGGGAACCAGACACAATAAGAATTCCAGAGAACAACAAAGAGCACATAGAGTTGTCTAGAGACGAAGTGGAAAAAATGCTCAAGGAGCTAAGTAAGAACAAAGCAGTTGGTCCAGATGGAGTTTCACCATGGGTTCTGAGAGAATGTGCACCTGAGCTCAGCATTCCACTTCACCTGATTTTTCAGGCATCCGTGTGTACAGGAGTCGTAGCAAACACGTGGAAAAAGGCTAACATAGTTCCAGTCTACAAAAAGTGGCAGCAGGGAAGACCCCCTCAATTATAGACCTGTACCATTGACAAGTGTTATAGTCAAAATATTGGAAAAAATAATTAAAACTAAATGGGTAGAACACCTGGAGACAAATGATATAATATTAGACAGACAGCGTGGTTTTCTATCTGGAAGATCCTGTGTAACAAATTTACTCAGTTTCTATGATCGAGCCACAGAGATTTTACAGGAAACGGATGATTGGGTTGACCGCATCTATCTGGACCTAAAAAAAGGCTTTCAACAGAGTTCCACAACAACATAGGAATTTATGTATGTGTGAGAATACTGGTAAGTGGTAAGCATATTCAATAATAAAGTTCAAGATTCATATTTAATAATAAAGAGCATGGGGTTTAACAGTGCAGTTCTGAGAAAAAGAGAAACAAAGTGGAATATAACGCTGCACACATCAAGGGGCCTCGCAGTAGCTACTTTTATAATGATTACATTTGAGACTGACCTGAGTGTGTACTCACAGCTTTCCTTGTACCTTGCCTCTTCTTTCTTCTCTGGTGCAGCCAAGTAGCTTTAAAGGCCTTCACATTCGCACTCACAAAATATTTGCTGCTTTTTAACACTCGAACTTTCACCTAAAAATCAGAGAAGTCCCGGTTATTGCAAAGATCAAAATAATTAAGTCATGGTTTCATTTTATGCAATCAAGGCAGTTTTTCCAAGTCTTCAATGCAAACATTATGAATGGCTCCCTCTCCTTCACTCTCATTTCCTCCTTCCCTCTCTCTCTCCCTTCCACTCCCCCCTCTCTAAATTCTTTCCCATTTCTTCTTCCCTACCCCCTTATTTGTCTTTCCTTCCCTCCCTTTCTCACTCTTTCCCTCTCTTTCTCATTCCTTCCCTACCCCACTCATTCCTTCCGTTACTCCCTTCTCAATTTCTTATTTACTTAGCAGTTCAGGTGTCTACTCTCTATGATCTTACCTGAATTTACCTGAGGACCACCATCTTTAGTGGCCTTAACAGGGACAGGTAGCTGGTAGATTGTCAAAGGCCCCCTCCATTGTTCCTGAGTATTGTCTTCGGATTTATGGCTTTGGTGGGTAGGCAAATGATATGGATTTATTGGTGAAAATAAATTTTTGTGAAAGAGGATCTCTTGTTTTCTATCCAACATTGTAGCTTGTTGAGCTTGATGCTGGTACCCTTTGTACGAGTTATATTGGACCTTTTAAGAAGTGGTCTCTGTTAATATCGTGTAATTTGTTCAGTATACTATTTTAAAAGTCTTGAGATTAGCCCTGTCGTGTGTGGCTTTATAGTTCTGTTAGTCTTGAAGCCTTCAACTGCTCCTGATATGAGAACTGACTTAATCCTGCAATGATTTTTTGTCATTGAGGTTATCTTGAGATGATTTCGGGGCTTTAGTGTCCCCCGGCCCGGTCCTCGACCAGGCCTCCACCCCCAGGAAGCAGCCCGTGACAGCTGACTAACACCCAGGTACCTATTTTACTGCTAGGTAACAGGGGCATAGGGTGAAAGAAACTCTGCCCATTGTTTCTCGCCGGCGCCTGGGATCGAACCCGGGACCACAGGATCACAAGTCCAGCGTGCTGTCCGCTCGGCCGACCGGCTCCCAATGGTTTGTGTTATCTTTCTTTTCCAAAGCAGATATATTCTTTTGAAGGTGAAATCTCTGTATCTTAGGATGTTCTCCTTGAGCCTGCAGACATGGGAGGCTAGGAGTACTGGTCATTAATTTTCTGCTGAATTTTTTCTAACTTTATAAAAGATGAAAGTAACATTTACATACAGTATATCCAATCTTGGGAGGACATATCTTTGGTTTAGAGATTTTATGAATAGGAGTTAGTTCATCAGCCAATTCCTCCATTGTTCTGAATAGAAATCCATCCATATCTGGAGCATTTGATTCCTTTAATTTGTAAATACTCTTTATGATTATTTCACATGTAATGGGAATATTTCTTAACTCATTCTCTTATGCTACCACCCTGGAAACACAAACCGTAACTGTCTCTATTTTCCGCTTGTTACAACTTGTAATAAAGTTGTTACATCTTGGCGTAACGTGTTTATGACGTATTAGAACATTGTTACAACTGGCTAGATTGGTTGTTATAACTGGTTAGGAGGTGTTAAAACTTGTTCGAACGTTGTACCAACGTCGTAGTTTCGATGTGTGTTTGGCGGGTACTAATATCTGTGTGGGTGTTGGGATGCTTTTTTTATTATTTTATAACTTGGTTAATCTAATCTTTCAAGGGTCTTACTGTCTATTCCCTTGTTTTTACTCCATATATAATACAATATTCCTCTATGTTCTGGCAGAGGGAAGGTTGCCTAAGTTTTTGGTCCTGGCAATTAATTTTCTGGGTGGGAGGCCATTGTGGCTACCTGATGCTATCTCACTGAGATAGCTTCCAACTTCTAGGTCACATCAGCTATGGGTTCTGTTTTTTTTTTTTTTTTTTTTTTTTTTTTTTTTTTTTGAGATATATACAAGAGTTGTTACATTCTTGTAGAGCCACTAGTACGCGTAGCGTTTCGGGCAAGTCCTTAATCCTATGGTCCCTGGAATACGATCCCCTGCCGCGAAGAATCGTTTTTTCATCCAAGTACACATTTTACTGTTGCGTTAAACAGAGGCTACAGTTAAGGAATTGCGCCCAGTAAATCCTCCCCGGCCAGGATACGAACCCATGACATAGCGCTCGCGGAACGCCAGGCGAGTGTCTTACCACTACACCACGGAGACTGTTTGGCCTACTGGGTACCAGAGCCAGAACCTTGATCCCCTCATAGAGGCACAGAGACCAAAAGGTGACACTCCACCAGGAGAGCATCCAGATAGTCAACAAACCAATACAGACAATGGCTGGGTTCCAAGAGGGAGCCGGTCAGCCGAGCGGACAGCACACTGGACTTGTGATTGTGGTCCCGGGTTCGATCCCGGGCGCCGGCGAGATACAATGGGCAGAGTTTCTTTCATCCTATGCCCCCGTTACCTAGCAGTAAAATAGGTACCTGGGTGTTAGTCAGCCGTCACGGGCTGCTTCCTGGGGGCGGAGGACCGGACCGCGGGGACACTGAAGCCCCAAAATCATCTCAAGATAACCTCAAGAAAGAGACCAAAGCCTCAAAACTACCAAATGAACTTCCACAATGTAAATTAATTAAATCTTTCAAAACTAGAGCGAGCTCGTTAGCACTATCCTAGCCAGTTGGGAGGGAAGGCAGAGCTCCAAGTCTCCCCAGTCCTCCAAGCCAGATCTGTCGCAGACGAGAGGACACGATTAATTCTCCTCTCTAGGGTTCCTAGGTCGTCAACAAGCAGCGCAGGCCCCGCTGCTTCTAAGCTAAATGTCGGTCATCCTCGGACTTTGTCCTGCGGGGGCAATTTCTGTGTTGCTGCTGCACATTTTAGCTACCGTCCTGTCCCTATCTTTCAAACACACTCTCTGTTCCCTGACACTGCCATACCAATATGCAGAGGTGGGAGGGAGGCATTTGTATTTTTAAAAAATATTTAAAAATATCCTATCACTTGGATAATAAATACTGTTATCTGAACCAAAGAAATCTCCCTCTCTAAAATTATCATCAAAGTTATCAAAAATAACTACAGGGAAAAAATACAAAAAATATTTAAACCATTTTCATTTAAATAATATTCTCTACATTGCATTATAATAGTAAACGAAAAGTAACGTCTCACAGCACACTGTAGAAAATTCTGCAATGCTACTTCTCATATATCTTCTGTAACATGATTTATTTAAGACTCTGACCTAAGTATGGTGGATAAATAAGTGGTATTAGAGTAGTGTACAAACGTGCAACGGTGTGGTTTACAAACTTTGAGCTGATGTAGCCACTTCTTAACCATAGTCCAAGCAGCTTGAACCGAGTAAACCGTCATTAGACTTCGAGGCATCATTAACACGAGCGGTTTATTGGTTACCATCTCTTTCTTACTTCTCACTTGGTCTAGCTGCAGGGCAGAGTCGTACGTCCAAGCCACACCCCACCTGCACGACACAACACACATGACAAATTATATGTTATATGTTATATGACAAAGAGTGCTGGGAAGACGGGACACCACGAGCGTAGCTCTCATCCTGTAACTACACTTAAGCAACTACTGTACATTTAAGGTAATTACACACTCTTCAAACTTAACAATTCAAATTCAAATAAAATATTGTACAGTACTGTAATCTAATGCCTCATACTGATAATGCCATTCATACTTAATCTTATTTATTGATTTACAGTAGTATTTATTCATATACAAGTAAGGTACACTGGGATGTGAGAGTACACGACATTCGTGTTCTTACGGTCTTGCAAAGCCACTAACACACACACACACCTATATATAATGAAGATAGGTGTAGGGAGCAGGAGGCCAAATACAAGGTATCATCTGGGAGAGGAAATTCTTCAGGAGTCAGAGAAAGAAAAAGACTTGGGAGTTGATATCACGCCAGACCTGTCTCCTGCAGCACATATCAAGAGGATAACATCAGCGGCATATGCCAGGCTGGCCAACATACGAACGGCATTCAGAAACTTGTGTAAAGAATCATTCACAACTTTGTATACCACATATGTCAGGCCAATCCTGGAGTATGCAGCCCCAGCATGGAGTCCATATCTAGTCAAGGATAAGACTAAACTGGAAAAGGTTCAAAGGTTTGCCACCAGACTAGTACCCGAGCTGAGAGGTATGAGCTACGAGGAGAGACTATGGGAATTAAACCTCACTTCACTGGAAGACAGAAGAGTTAGGGGGGACATGATCACCACATTCAAGTTTCTCAAGGAAATTGATAGGGTAGATAAAGACAGGCTATTTAACACAAGAGGCACACGCACAACGGGACACAGGTGGAAACTGAGTGCCCAAATGAGCCACAGAGATATTAGAAAGAACTTTTTTAGTGTCAGAGTGGTTGACAAATGGAATGCATTAGGAAGTGATGTGGTGGAGGCTGACTCCATACACAGTTTCAAGTGTAGTTATGATAGAGCCCAGTAGGCTCAGGAATCTGTACACCAGTTGATTGACGGTTGAGAGGCGGGACCAAAGAGCCAGAGCTCAACCCCCGCAAGCACAACTAGCTGAGTACACACGTTATATGACAAAGAGTGCTGGGAAGATGGGACACCACAAGCGTAGCTCTCATCCTGTATCTACACTTAGGTAATTACACACACACACACACAACATTTTGGGCTATTGGTTACATAACTAGTAAAATAATAAAAATACAATTCACTGTAATAGTTGTGTATGCTGAGGTAGCGTGTCATACATGCACAACTGCACACCCACACACTTCTCTAATACACTTACTTTTACAGTATTTCATCAGCAAAATTTCCCCAGCTCTTTAGCATAATAAATTCTGAAATGCATACAAGGCCTGTAATAAATTTCTTAAAAAAGTCTTTCCTCAGTAGCTTCCCGAAGCTGTCTCACTGTCTCAGCCATACCTCTAGTCTACTGCCCACCATAACCAGAGACTGACTCGCTCCCCGAGGCCAGGCAAGCTTGCGAATCACATCTACACAAAACTCGCTCCCCGAGGCCAGGCGAGCTTGGGAATCACATCTACACAAAACTCGCTCCCCGAGGCCAGGCAAGCTTGCGAATCACATCTACACAAAACTCGCTCCCCGAGGCCAGGCGAGCTTGGGAATCACATCTACACAAAACTCACTCCCCGAGGCCAGGCGAGCTTGGGAATCACATCTACACAAAACTCGCTCCCCGAGGCCAGACGAGCTTGGGAATCACATCTACACAAAACTCGCTCCCCGAGGCCAGGCGAGCTTGGGAATCACATCTACACAAAACTCGCTCCCCGAGGCCAGGCGAGCTTGGGAATCACATCTACACAAAACTCGCTCCCCGAGGCCAGGCGAGCTTGGGAATCACATCTACACAAAACTCGCTCCCCGAGGCCAGACGAGCTTGGGAATCACATCTACACAAAACTCGCTCCCCGAGGCCAGGCGAGCTTGGGAATCACATCTACACAAAACTCGCTCCCCGAGGCCAGGCGAGCTTGGGAATCACATCTACACAAAACTCGCTCCCCGAGGCCAGACGAGCTTGGGAATCACATCTACACAAAACTCGCTCCCCGAGGCCAGACGAGCTTGGGAATCACATCTACACAAAACTCGCTCCCCGAGGCCAGGCGAGCTTGGGAATCACATCTACACAAAACTCGCTCCCCGAGGCCAGGCGAGCTTGGGAATCACATCTACACAAAACTCGCTCCCCGAGGCCAGGCGAGCTTGGGAATCACATCTACACAAAACTCGCTCCCCGAGGCCAGGCGAGCTTGGGAATCACATCTACACAAAACTCGCTCCCCGAGGCCAGGCGAGCTTGGGAATCACATCTACACAAAACTCGCTCCCCGAGGCCAGGCGAGCTTGGGAATCACATCTACACAAAACTCGCTCCCCGAGGCCAGGCGAGCTTGGGAATCACATCTACACAAAACTCGCTCCCCGAGGCCAGGCGAGCTTGGGAATCACATCTACACAAAACTCGCTCCCCGAGGCCAGGCGAGCTTGGGAATCACATCTACACAAAACTCGCTCCCCGAGGCCAGGCGAGCTTGGGAATCACATCTACACAAAACTCGCTCCCCGAGGCCAGACGAGCTTGGGAATCACATCTACACAAAACTCGCTCCCCGAGGCCAGGCGAGCTTGGGAATCACATCTACACAAAACTCGCTCCCCGAGGCCAGACGAGCTTGGGAATCACATCTACACAAAACTCGCTCCCCGAGGCCAGGCGAGCTTGGGAATCACATCTACACAAAACTCGCTCCCCGAGGCCAGGCGAGCTTGGGAATCACATCTACACAAAACTCGCTCCCCGAGGCCAGGCGAGCTTGGGAATCACATCTACACAAAACTCGCTCCCCGAGGCCAGGCGAGCTTGGGAATCACATCTACACAAAACTCGCTCCCCGAGGCCAGACGAGCTTGGGAATCACATCTACACAAAACTCGCTCCCCGAGGCCAGGCGAGCTTGGGAATCACATCTACACAAAACTCGCTCCCCGAGGCCAGGCGAGCTTGGGAATCACATCTACACAAAACTCGCTCCCCGAGGCCAGGCGAGCTTGGGAATCACATCTACACAAAACTCGCTCCCCGAGGCCAGGCGAGCTTGGGAATCACATCTACACAAAACTCGCTCCCCGAGGCCAGGCGAGCTTGGGAATCACATCTACACAAAACTCGCTCCCCGAGGCCAGGCGAGGGAATCACATCTACACAAAACTCGCTCCCCGAGGCCACACGAGCTTGGGAATCACATCTACACAAAACTCGCTCCCCGAGGCCAGGCGAGCTTGGGAATCACATCTACACAAAACTCGCTCCCCGAGGCCAGGCGAGCTTGGGAATCACATCTACACAAAACTCGCTCCCCGAGGCCAGGCGAGCTTGGGAATCACATCTACACAAAACTCGCTCCCCGAGGCCAGGCGAGCTTGGGAATCACATCTACACAAAACTCGCTCCCCGAGGCCAGGCGAGCTTGGGAATCACATCTACACAAAACTCGCTCCCCGAGGCCAGGCGAGCTTGGGAATCACATCTACACAAAACTCGCTCCCCGAGGCCAGGCGAGCTTGGGAATCACATCTACACAAAACTCGCTCCCCGAGGCCAGGCGAGCTTGGGAATCACATCTACACAAAACTCGCTCCCCGAGGCCAGGCGAGCTTGGGAATCACATCTACACAAAACTCGCTCCCCGAGGCCAGGCGAGCTTGGGAATCACATCTACACAAAACTCGCTCCCCGAGGCCAGGCGAGCTTGGGAATCACATCTACACAAAACTCGCTCCCCGAGGCCAGGCGAGCTTGGGAATCACATCTACACAAAACTCGCTCCCCGAGGCCAGGCGAGCTTGGGAATCACATCTACACAAAACTCGCTCCCCGAGGCCAGGCGAGCTTGGGAATCACATCTACACAAAACTCGCTCCCCGAGGCCAGGCGAGCTTGGGAATCACATCTACACAAAACTCGCTCCCCGAGGCCAGGCGAGCTTGGGAATCACATCTACACAAAACTCGCTCCCCGAGGCCAGGCGAGCTTGGGAATCACATCTACACAAAACTCGCTCCCCGAGGCCAGGCGAGCTTGGGAATCACATCTACACAAAACTCGCTCCCCGAGGCCAGGCGAGCTTGGGAATCACATCTACACAAAACTCGCTCCCCGAGGCCAGACGAGCTTGGGAATCACATCTACACAAAACTCGCTCCCCGAGGCCAGGCGAGCTTGGGAATCACATCTACACAAAACTCCCCGAGGCCAGGCGAGCTTGGGAATCACATCTACACAAAACTCGCTCCCCGAGGCCAGGCGAGCTTGGGAATCACATCTACACAAAACTCGCTCCCCGAGGCCAGGCGAGCTTGGGAATCACATCTACACAAAACTCGCTCCCCGAGGCCAGGCGAGCTTGGGAATCACATCTACACAAAACTCGCTCCCCCCCGAGGCCAGGCCAGACGAGCTTGGGAATCACATCTACACAAAACTCGCTCCCCGAGGCCAGACGAGCTTGGGAATCACATCTACACAAAACTCACTCCCCGAGGCCAGGCAAGCTTGGGAATCACATCTACACAAAACTCGCTCCCCGAGGCCAGGCGAGCTTGGGAATCACATCTACACAAAACTCACTCCCCGAGGCCAGGCGAGCTTGGGAATCACATCTACACAAAACTCGCTCCCCGAGGCCAGGCGAGCTTGGGAATCACATCTACACAAAACTCGCTCCCCGAGGCCAGGCGAGCTTGGGAATCACATCTACACAAAACTCGCTCCCCGAGGCCAGGCGAGCTTGGGAATCACATCTACACAAAACTCGCTCCCCGAGGCCAGGCGAGCTTGGGAATCACATCTACACAAAACTCGCTCCCCGAGGCCAGGCGAGCTTGGGAATAACCCATAAAACCCAAAACAAAGCATCAGGGTTAAAGCTCTTCACTAGCACCTGGCCAAATATTTAGTCTTATAAATAATTGTCATTATGCTTACATTTACTGTATTCTCAAAATATTTATTATAATTACCTATGGAATTTTTGGATACAATAATTCCTTGCCACAGTCTCAATCATAGTGTACAATAAGTGTAATATAACACTACCTGTGTTAGTGTTATATCAGTGTAAGTGATCAGTTTCCTGTGTTTACACATACGAAGGAAAAGCAGGAACCGAACTTGACGTTAACGCACCTCATGGTTCTTCCTTGGCAGAACTGTGTCACCACAGAGCACGACGGACTGGCCGCACTCAGTGCCCCTTTGATTGGCTTTATGTTAGCTTTCGTCCCAATCAATGTTGTGAAGATTCTGTAACGTGTGTTTGATATTAGTCAATTTGGTTGTGAACATACAGCCTATCATTTTTGCATTAAACCTTTAAGAAAAGTACTGCATACAATAAACGTTTATCTCGGTATCACACATCACATTGCATTATTACAGCATTTATTAATTCGTCATTAGCCAGCAATTAAATATTTTTTTGCATAAAGACATACAGTGAGCGAGGTCTGCAATAGAATGGAACCCGTGGTGGAGCAGAGAAACTGGCAAGAAGAAGAAATCTTCATATACACTTAAGACAATACAGTTTGTGCACATGGCTTTTTCTCGTGGGTGCAGAACCCTCACTGGAACTGGAGACATCCTGACCATGAGTCGTTTCCTTCTCTGCTCACACTGTATGACATCTAGTCCCTCAAGAACGGGATGTGTTCTCTTTCACAAAGACCAAAATCTGGGTCATTCTACAGGACAAAGGTGAGCCTAGGGTTTGGGTTGATCAAAGATCAACCCAAACCCATGGAAAAATCAACCAGAAATTATAGGCACAAAATGAAAGCAACTATTTTAATGAAAATTCCATCCCCCAGTAAACAAGGTAAGTGATCATTGCTGAGGGGTAATCAGCCTGTGATGCAAGAGACCATCACCAGGTGCAGCCCAGGGGCTAGATTCACGAAGGCACTTACGCAAGCACTTACGAACGTGTACAACTTTCCTCAATCTTTGACGGCTTTGGTTACATTTATTATACAGTTTAAAGGCATGAAAACTTCCCAATCAACTGTTGTTATTGTTATAAACAGCCTCCTGGTGCTTCGGAGATAATTAACTGTTTAATAATTGTAAACAAAGCCGCCAAAGATTGTGAAAAGATGTACAGGTTCGTAAGTGCTTTCGTGAATCTGGCCCCCAGGTCACTCATGATGCCACTCTATTTACTCCCTCCCCCGTCACTTGGAAGATATACACAAGCCCCTTAATCCTAATGGAAAGAAAGTAGCAGAGCAGAAATGGAGAGTTATTAGGGGCCCACAAGAAAACCAGCGTTGAATGTAATCAAATGCCAATTTCTGGGTAAGCCCCAAAGGCTCCCTGAAGCTACTACATATCCGACATAGTGCCAAGAGTACATGGGACTGCCTAAAAATTGTAAATCTGTATTCCCTAGAGTACAGTTGGGAAAGATGCACAATCATTTATACTTGGAAAATATTAGAAGAACCCGTTCCAACTCTGCACACAGAAATAACACCACATGAGACCAGAAGGCATGGCAGGATGTGTAAAATAGACCCACTGCATAGCAGAAGTGCAATAGGCATGGTGAAAGAGAACTTGATCAACATCAGAGGCCCAAGACTTTTCAACAATCTTCCCAACACATAGGGTATTACTGGCCTACCTCTCTCGGTGTTCAAAAGGGGACTAGACAAGCACTTCAAAGGATACTTGATCAACCAGGTTGTGACTCGCACATCAGGCAGCGAGCAGCCGCATCAAACTGCCTGATTGATCAGACCAGCAACCAGGGGCCAGATTCATGAAACAGTTACGCAAGCACTTACGAATGTTTACATCTTTCCTCAATCTTTGAGGGCTTTGGTTACATTTATTAAACAGTTTACAAGCACGAAAACTTGCCAATCAACTGTTGTTATTGTTATTAACAGCCTCCTGGTGCTTTGGAGCTCACTAACTGTTTAATAATTGTAAACAAAGCCGCCAAAGATTGAGAAAAGATGTACAGGTTCGTAAGTGCTTGCGTAAGTGCTTCGTGAATGTGGCCCCTGGAGGCCTGGTTAAAGACCAGGATGCAGGGACATTGATCCTCAGAATCATAAATCAGTAGTCAACAGGTAGAGCAAAGAGGCAGGCACTGAGACACTCAAAAAGAGCACCAAAATCAAGTTGATGTGGTGAGGGAGCATAAAAAAACTCCTCCTTGTGCAAGAAAAGATACTCCACAGAAGGCACTAGATCCCACAAAGGGTCAAACAGGACCCAAGGACCCAACTCAGACTCCCCCCAAGCCCCGGGAACCGCTGAAGAGGGCCCCAGAGCAGAGCCATCGCCCCAAGATTGAAAAGCAAACTCCAAGTTCATGGGCATATGACAAGAGCTATCAGCTCATATTTGAAGAAAAGCACCATACTGTACAATCATATACTGTAACCCATATTTGGAATGGGATGAGATTCAATAAGACATAAGACATGATTGTCTAGAGGTAAACATAGTATTTAATAAAACATTTGGCCATATATGGTGGTTTTTACTTCACACTGAATTCATCTTGCACCATGTATCATCAAATTAAAGCATCTATACTCTACCTGATTTTATCCTTCATCAATTGGCTGTCGTCGATCATTTTTGTGACAAAGGAGACCTCTCCACCTGGTGTCACCTTCTCGTGAATTGCACCTAAGGAAATATACATTTATTTGAGTTGATTTTCTTCCATGACATCATCATGCTTAAACATATAAGATATTTCAGCTATTGACCACTTTCATACTTTCCTATGTCTAAGCAACTCCAACGTCTAAAATACTTCCTTGACTATCACGCAAGCCACCATCCCCAGTTCCAGTATTGACTCCAGAAGATGTGTATTATATTAAGTGAGGCCACTAAAAATATATGATTAAAATATATGATTAGGGAGCCGGTCGGCCGAGCAGACAGCACGCGGGACTTGTGATCCTGTGGTCCTGGGTTCGATCCCAGGTGCCGGCGAGAATCAATGGGCAGAGTTTCTTTCATCCTATGCCCCTGTTACCTAGCAGTAAAATAGGTACCTGGGTGTTAGTCAGCTGTCACGGGCTGCTTCCTGGGGGTGGAGGCCTGGTCGAAGACCGGGCCGTGGGGACACTTGATAACTCCAAGAAGCCAAAAGAGCCATCAATGAAAGCACACATTACTTTTTACCCGTTAGAGTTGGATGTTGTTTATTTTTGCCAAACCCTGTATATTTTCCAAGCTTTCAACAAGTCATAACATTAATCTTCAAATTCAAAATGCCATAATTTGAATTTCCTGCTTCCCTTTCTAAACATATTTAAGTTTCGTCAATGCTATAAGTGACAATTTCTCTGAATTTACACACTGATATATGTTAAGTCTTAAGAATCATATCAAGCCTCTGGCACCCACAATGGCCAGTCAGGAGCCAGGACCCAAAATCTGGATCTTTACAAGGGTGCAACAGCCGAGCAAGACAGGCCCGGAAACAGCTGGTAACAAAACATTCAGAAAACCCCAGGCAAAAACCGAACAGAAACAGCGTTCATGTTGATATTAGTTCTATTGTAAAGGGTTTAGATACCATTCATGAAGCAGCTGTCTGGATCTTCTACTTTCACGTTATTTGAGTACTTAACAGCCTTACAATGATATTTTATTATTTCATTCATTTCTTAGTTGTCCTCTGCATATGATGGATACTGATGGAGGCTTTGCATTTTGATTTTGCATATGTGAAGAAATATTCAGATTTGTTCTTATTTCTAATTTCCATTTTAATTTAATTTCTTCAATCTGATATGATTACTTCAGCTTCTGCTCTATTTCTTCAATTTCCCAGCTTAAGTTTTTCTGTTATTTTTGGTGTGTTTCGACAGCCAATTGTTCCATTCCTTGTACTCACCTAGTTATGCTTGCGGGGGTTGAGCTTTGGCTCTTTGGTCCCGCCTCTCAACCGTCAATCAACAGGTGTACAGGTTCCTGAGCCTATTGGGCTCTATCATATCTACATTTCAAACTGTGTATGGAGTCAGCCTCCACCACAACACTACTTAATGCATTCTATTTGTTAACTGCCCTGACACTGAAAAAATTCTTTCTAACGTCTCTGTGGCTTTGTTTTGGTGTTTCGTTAATTATGACAGTTTGCCATTGGATGTTTGCAAGATTTTTATTGACTTTTTCCCAGTCAATCATCTCATTATTCAAATTTAATTCATTGAATAGCCCCTCTCACCTGATAATATCTTTTGGACCTATTATTAGCTCTGACGTTAGTTTGCACTTTAATGAGGTTGTGATCTGATTATGTGGTATCCAAAATTGTCATGTCATTGATTATTTCTTTGTTGTTTGTGAAGATCAAGTCTAGAATGTTTTCATTACTAGTTGGCTCTGCAATTTGCTGCTGAAAGACAAATTTGTCACAAACTAAGGAGCTCTCAGCTCTGTGGTTGGCTATTTCCAGGTGGATTTTCTGGTACAACACTATTACTGTATTTGCTTTGAGATATATACAAGAGTTGTTACATTCTTGTAGAGCCACTAGTACGCGTAGCGTTTCGGGCAGGTCCCTGGAATACGATCCCTGCCACGAAGAATCGTTGTTACAACCAAGTACACATTTTACTGTTGAGTTAAACAGAGGCTACAATTAAGGATTTGCGTCCAGTAAATCCTCCCCGGCCAGGATACGAACCCATGACAAAGCGCTCGTGGAACGCCAGGCGAGTCTCTTACCACTGCACCACGGAGACTTAATCTCCATCTCGGACTTAATCTCCATCTCAGAGACTTAATCTCCATCTTAGCGTAGGTAGATTGAAGTCTACAAGGAAGATAATATCTGGTACTGTATCTGCATTGCCAGATTATCGAGGCTATTTTCTATTTTGCTTACCTGTGATATAAATTCCTCAGCCGTTGCATTTGGCAGTTTGTATATTAGATTAATAACTAGGTTTATTTTCTCTATTTTTGTTCCAAGTACCTACTTATCTAGTTGTGCTTACGGGGTTGAGCTTCAGCTCTTTGCTCCCACCTCTCTAGTGTCAATCAACTGGTGGAAATATTCCTGAGCCTATTGGGCTCTATCATCATTTGAAATTGTGTATGGAGCCACAATTCACCACATCACTGCCCAGTTCATTCCATTTGTTAACTTACCCTAACACGGAAAAAATTCTTTCTAACGTCTCTGTGGTTCATTTGAGTACAGTACTAAGTTTCCATCAGTGTCCCCATCAGTGTCCCCATCAGTGTCCCCTTGTTCGTGTTCCACCCATGGACAAGAGGTTTAATTCCTATAGGTTTTATTAAGGTTTAATTAAATTTAATTAAATAAGGTTTCAATAAGGTTTAATTAATTAATTAATTAAATTCTCATAACTCGTATCAAATCTCTACCGCTACTACATCACATGTGGAGTTCAGGAGCTACATGTGGTCTATTTACTCCATAGCATCTATATAATTATATTCTAGTATCCAGATCTGACAGTCCATGAATTCCCTGTACGGGTTTCAGTGAAAGCTCCAAATACTGCATATGCCCCTGTGAGAAGGTCATTTATGAACAGCACTTTATTTCTCATTCGTGTTTTTAGTTCCGGGTTCGATTCCCAGTGGAGGCGGAAACAAATGGGCAGAGTTTCTTCGACCCTGATGCCCCAGTTACCTAGCAGTAAATAGGTACCTGGGATTTAGACAGCTGCTACAGGTGGCTTCATAGGGGTGTTTAACAAAAAGGAGGCCTGATTGAGGAACAGGCCATGGGGATGCTAAGCCCCAAAATCATCTCAAGATAACCTCAAGATGCTGAATGTGAATAACATGTACATGATGAAAAGTGGACTGAAAAAAAGAACTGGAAATTTTGTGGTGGCGCTGTTCCTCAATTACTGACAAAATAACTAAACCAACATCAAATTTGTCTGACTAAGCCAGGATTATCCCAACTTTGGTGTTTGTTTGAAATAATTGGTACGCAATTGAGGATTAAGACTGTAAAAGTTATTCTTACCAGTTGGTGCACTGACAGGACTTCCTCTGTCCTTTCTGGTTTTCTTCATCGTGTCTGCCTCTTCCTCAGAACTGAAGAAGGGGGGATTGCACATTGTGAAGTCGTACAAGTAAGTGCTACATTCCTCATCTTTCAACTGACCTGTAAGGTGTATATTATATAACTTGCAATGTAGGGATTTCAAAACAAATTTATTCTTCTCCAAATATGTAAGCAAACATAATGAGCTTCGACTATCGTGAAATCAGTATCTGCGTGGTAAGTGCTCGAGGGACAGAAGGAGCATACAAATAAGCAAAAATCTAGCTATGATTGTGCTTGAAAACACCTTTCTGAGAAGCAGACTTTGTTGCTCCTTAAAGCAAGATTCTACTAACATCAGAATGTACACAGAAAAGTGCATTACACAAAACTCAAAAGACGTTCAAAGTACAACTTGGAACCCCAGGAGACCACCAAGCTGTGCCCAAGCTAACTACATCACACATCATCATCATGGTACTAGTAACTCTCACAGGCTGCACACATTTCTAGAAATTCATACTATATTAGTCTTCAAGTCTCATTTAAAATTGTATGTATGTACGTTATCAATTTTTCTTCTTTGTCAATTATCTCTCTAATTGTCAACAATTCTTGTTTAAATTGATGTCTTAAACCTTAAAGTGCAGTTATTATAATATTGAGACTGCCCGGGTAATGTGGTTATCATACATTGATTTTAGTTATTATTACCCAGTTTGTATACCAGTGATGTAAGTATGGTTATAATACATGTATATGGGTGTGATGGAGTTAACTCAAGACCCTTACCTCAGGCTGCTGTCTTCTCCCACAGCTAAGTCCTTACTGCCTTGTCTCTTTTTTACCAATCTCATGTTCCTTTATATTAAATCATTCCCTTTCTGCTAAAACACAGTTGGAATCATTTTTGGCCGGTTACTAAGGAGTCTTTCCCAGAAATCGAACATTGAATGTAATGAAACACCTGGTTGATGGGGTTCTGGGAGTTCTTCTACTCCCCAAGCCCGGCCCGAGGCCAGGGGTTGACTTGTGAGAGTTTGGTCCATCAGGCTGTTGCTTGGAGCGGCCCGCAGGCCCACATACCCACCACAGCCTGGCCCGAGGCCAGGCTTGACTTGTGAGAGTTTGGTCCACCAGGCTGTTGCTTGGAGCCCGCAGGCCCACATATCCACCACAGCCTGGTTGGTCTGGCATGTCTTGGAGAAAATGATCTAGTTTTCTCTTGAAAATGTCCACGGTTGTTCCAGCAATATTTCTTATGCTCGCTGGGAGGATGTTGAACAACTGATTTCTAGTCTGCTCCCCTTCCTTTCAAGAGCCCCTCATTACCTTTTTTTTCAGTGGGATGTTTGGGGGTTAAGTGTTGGTGGCTCCCGAGTGTAGTGGGCAGCTTACTGGGATGAGAAGAGACCTGGGCCACCAGATGGTGCAGGTCAGGGACATTAAGTTTGATCCCCAAACTCTCTTCATCACAGAATCAGACCAGACTATACCAGCACATAAGCCCCAAGAAGATACTATGGACCCATCAGAAAAGGGGAATTTCATTACTGTCAACACTTAGTTTTTAATGGCATTGCTGGAAAGAGCAATAATTTTCTTTTTAGAATTTATTTATATACAAAAAATATCTATTTTCTGGGAGAGCCCCTGGTAGCTCAGTAAAGTTATTTCACCGAGAATGCTTCATGCAAATAGATAACATCAGATATGAGAGTTCTGTTTTGACTACTGGATACCAGAGCCAAGAGCTGGCCTTCACCTCTGAGGAGACGACCAGGTCACCAGTTTTGCCTCGATGAATGCCTTGTTAGCTAACCCTGTTTCCTTAGTCCCCTGTTCCAAGGCTCGTATTTCCAGAGGTTGTCTGCAGTCTCATCAAATCTAGCCAGCGTATGGGCTACTCTTGGGTTCATGATATTCACAGGTGTGCTGCATTGGCCACAATCATTTCCAACATGTTTTGGGCTGATATTCAGTCCCAGGGGTTTTGGCATTCTAAGAGGGTTCATACATTGCCTTGGGCCATGTCTCCAGGCCTGGATTCTTTTCGTTTAAGTGCATGGCACCTCTCTTACTCCCCAAGTCTCATTTTTGTTTTGTGTGGGTTAGCTTCAGAGAGCCACTGGGAGCGCCCCCAGAAACCTACCATTGAATGTAATTAAACACCTCTTTCTGGATGAGCCTCGGTAGCTACTCGACTCCTTCTCTATGAGGTTAATTGGTTCATCGGTGGGATGTTCATCACCTACACAACTGATCAAGGAAGATGGCTGTGTGCAGAAGCCAGGGCACCTGGTTGTGGTATTCACTACTGTGGTTTCATGCAAAATATGAATGTTTTTTTTTTTTGTCTATGTAAATCATTTGCAGAGTAGTTTGGTGGTTTCAAGGCTTCAGTCTTTAACCCTCCAGCTGTCTATAAAACTTTGCTGACTTTCTTGATGCTTTCCCCGTGTTGTGGTGAATTGTTACTCGCTCTCTGCACCTCAGTGAGGGGGGGCCTGATTTTGGTTCTGGTACTGAGTGGGCCAAACAGAACTCCTGCATCTTATGTCACCCATATGCTTGGAGCAATCTCGGCAAAATAGCTTCAGGAAGCCACCAGGACTCGTCCAGAAAGAGGCATTTCATTACATTCAATGCTGAGTTTTTGGCTATATCATAACCTTTGGTAGGGACAGTGATGAACAAATGATATCTCAATGAAGAGAGTAAATATAAACTGTAATGTAAGCACAAAACTGGCAGCTGAAATGTCTCGAGAATTACACACTTTCGATGATATCTCTCTATACCACAATCGCATTTGTGTTGGCAGATGGGATTAAGATGAAGAGAAGCCTATAACAAGCGATGAGTCACAATAACGTGGCTAAAGTATGATGACAAGACCACACGCTAGAACGTGAAGGGACGACGACGTTTCGGTCCGTCCTGGACCATTCTCAAGTCGATGAGAATGGTCCAGGACGGACCGAAACGTCGTCGTCCCTTCACATTCTAGTGTGTGGTCTTGTCATCAGCCTATAACAGTACAAGTCTAAACATGCATAGCTCTAATCACTCGTACACTGACCATTACCAAATTCTACACGACTGAGAGAGTCGAGTGCGGCTGTCTGGGCCTTTCGTGCTTCGCAGTTCTGCAGCGACTCGCTCACTTCAGCTTTTTTTCGTAATTTGCACTTTAACATCCACCTTTTCACCTCTTCATCATTTATCAAATTCTTGAAAAAAATATTGCTTTCAACCTGAAAATATAAAGGTTGTATAACCTTTGAATGACAAGAATATGTAACTATTTTAACAAAAATGTTCACTATAATTTGATACTGTATAATATACTGATACCAAGATAATGACAAATATTAACATTCAAATGCCGAATGTTTTGAAAATAACTTTTCTGATAGGCCTTCCATAGCTTCCTAGGGCCAGATTCATGAAAGCACTTAAGCAAACACTTACGAACCTGTACACCTTTTCTCACTCTTTGGCGGCTTTGTTTCCAATTATTAAACAGTTAATGAGCTTCAAAGCACCAGGAGGCTGTTTATAACAATAACAACAGTTGAATGGCAAGTTTTCATGCATGTAAACTGTTTAATAAATATAACCAAAGCCGTCAAAGACTGAGGAAAGATGTACATGTTCGTAAGTGCTTGCGTAAGTGCTTTCGTGAATCTGGCCCCTAGTGCTCAAGTGCGGGTACTGTATCAGGTCTGTGAGACCCGCACTGACCTACTGAGAACCACGACCAGACTCTGGGGTCTTTGGAGAAGTTGTCATGCTTATAAACTGTTTAACAAATGTAACCAAAGCCGTCAAAGATTGAGGAAAGATGTACACGTTCATAAGTACTTGCGTAACTGCTTCGTGAATCTGGCCCCCAGGGATACCTAATTCTAAAATGATATAACTATTTCTAAAGATCAAATAAAATAAATCTTACCTTCTTCAAAAGAATCTTTGCCTGAAGATTGTTATTTTGCACATTTGTGTGGGCACTTTGATAACTATGTTCGTCACTTTCTGTGCCCAGTAAACACCAGCCAAAGTGCTGCGCTCCTAACAATGGGTAAACACATGCTGCTCCAACACCTGTAAATACAAAAGACAAATTATAATACGAAGCAAAAAGTGCAAATATTTATGGCAAGATATATAATGGTCTCCACCCATATTGAGTCGAGACTATTTACACCAAGAGCTGAATTAAGTGGGCCCATCTCTTCAACTATATGAAGGAACCTTATAGCCAGGATGGGAATTTTAAGAAGCAGCACACTTTGAAGGTGAATAATTTTAAAATATATCCTTGAGGAATATTAACTTTGAACAATTGTATGGCTATGAAATAATTCATTCATTGTATAATTTACTGTGTGAATGTCTAGCCACAATAGTCTTCATCTGGCCATAGTTTGATCTCGTATATCTTGTACTAGGAGGGATACCTGGCAGTACCCGGGTTCCTTCTCTTGTCCTTCCCACTCCCCCTTCCCTTTCTTCCCCACTCCCCATTCCTTCCCACCATCTTCCTCACCCTTGCCTTTCCCCCCTCATCGTCCCCACTCCTTCTCCCCTCTCATCCTCCCCCCTACCCCCCCCCCTTCTTCCCATCCCCCTCACTTACCCTCCAGTTCCCTTTCATAAAAGGTAGGGCAGTGAGGGATAACATAGGCATGAATGATTAGTGTGATTACAATTGCTAGATCATATATACATAATACAACCACAACACACAGACCTCACCATGCAGGCTTCATGTTTACATACCAATGTCAATGCCCAAGACACAGTGCTCCGAGTTGTAGTGTGCCGCATGTGTCAGTAGGTCTTCGATCCACAAAAGGTAATTGAGCCTCAGGGGAAGTGTCGGCACCAGTCGATCATCGGGAATACTAACCTATGAGTAATTTCCGTAGATTAGGGTTAGAAATTTTAAATTACATAAGATGTTAAGACTTAAGATAAAGTACCCAAAATCACTTAATGCTAAAATATTCTGGTTAGAGGCCCATTTGTAGCTGCTCTAGCTTGTGGCTCTGTCCTCCCTCAGGATGCTAAGATCACGTTTAGACACTGGCCGACCTTTCTACCCACAGGGACAATTATCGCTTCAAAACTTGTCTGGTTCCCAACTGGGAGGAAACCATGTAGGGGTCACAGATCAATGACCCAACTGAATGAACCCACTCATTGTGACACCAAAGAAGTTCTCCAAAATGCTTAGCTTCCCTCTAAATTATGTTTGACAACAATGAATTGCCAAACCACAATCTGAATAAATGCTCTGGGTTGAATGATTCAAGGTCTAAAACAAATCAAACAAAGCCCACTTTATACCTGGCCTCCTAAATGAGGCAAGTGCAGTGTTTGCTGCCCTAACTGAAATTTACACAAAGGATTATTATGAAAGTGAAATGCAGTATGGTTACCGTGTAAGGGCACGAGCTTATTTCTACGTGTCTTTACTAAAGGAGGAGATTAAATATAACAATCCCTATGAGAATTAGTGAGTCCTCTTTCAAGGATGGTAATACTCAATATTATCATACCAAGTCATCAGGACATACTTTACACAGAGCTTGTACTTCATATTGCAAGTTCGTATTGTACTGGTTTGAATCTTCGTACTGGTCAGAGACCGGGCCACAGGGACGTTAATCCCCAGAACCAATAACAGCCAACAGGTACTAATAATAGCCAACAGGTACATGCTTTTCAAGCAATTAATGATGTTCTCCCATCTTTATTTGGCTCATGCTCAGTTTGATCCTTCATTGTCTCTCACTCTGCTGTTGTACTTTTCATTTTCCACTTGCTTCCATGTTGTTCCATCATTAGATAACATCATCTTTATAGCTGTTTTTCTTCTTACTTTGATATTGAGTAATAGAGCTGGAGAATGTCACGCTCATAGGACACAGTTGGGATCTCTGTTCCACAAACCATTTTGGGGCCTGACAGCTGAGTGGACAGCCCTTCGGATTCGTAGTCCTGAGGTTCTGGGTTCGATCCCCGGTGGGGGTGGAAACAAATGGGTAGAGTTTCTTTGACCCTGATGCCCCTGTTACCTAGCAGTAAATAGGTAACTGGGTGTTAGACAGCTGCTAAGGGCTGCTTCCTGTAGTGTAACAAAAAGGAGGCCTGGTCGAGGACCGGGCCATGGGGGACGCTAAGCCCCGAAATCATCTCAAGATTGCTTCTGGACATTTGTCTTGCTTTCCTGGTAAAAATGATGGTTTAACATTCTGTCAAGGTCCCTTGGTTTGTGTGTCTAGGAAATCATGATACTCTTTGTCCCGTCACTGCTGTCTCTCCGTATCTGCGGGCTATTAGAGGTGCAGCCTTCACTCCTTATTTATGAAACCAAGCACTATGCTTATATGCACGACAGCTTGGCCATCCCAAATTATCATCCTGGTGGTTTTGATTTTTTTCCTCCATGCACGATAACTCACTTTTAGCACGGTATAAAGGAAGGGAGCCACCAAGGGAGCCTTGCCCAGAAATAAAGCATGGTGTGTAATGAAATGCCCTTTTCTGGCTGGCAATCTCGAAAGCTCCCCATTCTCAATCTTTGATTCCTGTGTTCTTAAGGTTGTAGTGGTGAGCCTGACTTAAGTGTTGTGTGGCAATTCAATGTTGTCAAACATCATTTAGAGGGATGGTAACCATTTTGAAGTTACACACAGAAATCACAATAGCGTGATGTATCAAATGAACAAATCCACAAGAGCCGTGGATGACACGGCTTACCCTCGTCAGGGCCCTTGTGGATTTGTTCATTTTGAAGTGCTTCTGAAGGTTATAGGTAGCCTCTTCTCTTGGTTGTGTGAGTGATCTCTGATCTCCAAATGCTCCCTTCTCAGAAGGAACAAGACAAGAATTTAGGGAAATTCTTCCCATTGAGTAGAAACTTACCCCTAATGCATGTGTGTTGAAGGTTCAAAAAAGCATGTTGAACCCCAGGGGTAGGCTCAACCTCCAGAAGAAGGAAAATGGGGAATATATGGGTCGACATGCATGGCAAAAGCTTGAAAGACTAAGCTATAGGACATATTTCACTTGTGCGCTACAACAGCAGGCAGGAAGGGGGGAGGGGGGCTGCGGAAGTTACCCCTCACTCATCCGAGGGCAGTACACAAGACTGACCCCTTCCCCTCACCATACCAAGGCAGTATGGGGGAGGGATGGAAGAATATGCTAAGAGAGGTTTGGCTGTACAGTAGTTAATACTGTATTGTATTATATTGTATTCCCTATTATGAACATTAAAATATTATTCTGCTAGAAAATGGTTCAAATGTTTAAGGTTTCATTATACCAAAATCTGAACTTTTGACGATGCTCTGTAATACATATCGGGAAGAAAGATGAATTAATTTATATCTGCATGTTTGTTTTTTGTAAAATAAGAATTTAATACGATGAAAAACATACCTTAAGACCAAAATCTTGGTCCAGAAGGCACGTTGTAAGAGCACGTACAGCTTTCGGATTCTTAAAGTCTAAGTGAACTTTGCCACCAAGATCATAGGTACAGTATTTTCGAAATTCAGGATAGTTGAGGGCAAGCTTCTTGAAACTGGGCGGAGTGCGGTAGGGATTTCGTTGATGCATAAATTTATTGAGTTTTGATGAAACAAATTTCTTGTCTGAAAAGAAAACCTGATTTCAGTTGCTGCAATAGGGTAAGGGGATGGGGGGTTGATGGAACAGATGAAAAAGGGTATGAGGACGGGGGTTGATGGAACGGATGTAAAAGGGTAAGGGGTTGATGGAACAGATGAAAAAGGGTATGGGGACGGGGGTTGATGGAACGGATGTAAAAGGGTAAGGGGTTGATGGAACAGATGAAAAAGGGTATGGGGACGGGAGCTGATGGAACAAATGAAAAATTTACCAAGTTTATTAAACATAGAAGTCAAACGGAATCCTCTTCTTCCGTACTTAATATGTTACTATAAATCAGTACTACAAGACAAATGCAAATTATACACACACCTCAAACACAAGAGTAACCACATGGGGGCTGGTACCATATTTTTGAATTGGCAGGACTCGGCAGAGTGTGTGCATTACATTTATTAATAGACACAGGAAATGGGAAATTACGCTACCAAGGAATAACTTCTTACTCACCAGATGGACAAGGGTACTCAAGTACACTGATATAACCAAGGTCAATAATCTCACACAAGTTATTGTGTAGCGAGGTGGGTACCTCACGAACACACCACACACATTCTGTGTGTGAAATCCTTGTGGGGGTCTTACAATGTGGGCCTTCTCTGTCTTCGTGGGGTGCATAGGCACTACTCACACGAAAACGCGCGGGGAAAACTTCACACACACACACACATACACACACACACACACACACACACACACACACACACACACGGCATAAACATTTACTAAAGCTCAATCTAATATATTTGAAACTTAAAAAATGAAAATACAAATAATACACACTGGTAAAACAAAGAGAAAACATTTAGATTAATAATAAAAAATACTGTACTAGACTTTATATACCAGTTTTTACAGTGTTTTAAAGTTTCTCAGCATGTGGGGTGTGGGTGTCAGGAGTCTGGACAGGTATTCCAGCCTCCGACCGGGGAGCCGGTCGGCCGAGCGGACAGCACACTGGACTTGTGATCCTATGGTCCAGGGTTCGATCCCAGGCGCCGGCGAGAAACAATGGGCAGAGTTTCTTTCACCCTATGCCCCTGTGACCTAGCAGTAAAATAGGTACCTGGGTGTTAGTCAGCTGTCACGGGCTGCTTCCTGGGGGTGGAGGCCTGGTCCAGGACCGGGCCGCGGGGACACTAAAGCCCCGAAATCATCTCAAGATAACCTCCCCACTCTACAATACTGGGGAGGGCCCTCTCCTTCTTCCTGAAGCTTTCAGACACCCTGTACAAGGGCTATGCCCCGGCTTACACCGTCACCTTGAGGTTACCTGGAGGTGCTTCCGGGGCTTAGCGTCCCCGCGGCCCGGTCGTCGACCAGGCCTCCTGGTTGCTGGACTGATCAACCAGGCTGTTACAATACAATACAATACAATACAATTTTATTTAGGTAAGGTACATACATACAATAAATATTTACAAGGATTGTTTGACTTATAGCTGGTTGCCTAAAGGCAAAGCGTTTCGGGCATAGGCAAAGCGTTTCGGGCATAGACGCGGATGCTCGTTTCGGGTTAGACGCGGATGCTCGCAGCCTGACGTATGAGTCACAGCCTGGTTGATCAGGTATCCTTTGGAGGTGCTTATCCAGTTCTCTCTTGAACACTGTGAGGGGTCGGCCAGTTATGCTGTCAGCTCACACAGCGGATCCTCCTTCGACCATTTAGCGTCGACCTAGACGACAATCTACTTTCAACAGCTGTCGGTATGTCATAGCTGGATGACATACCGACAGCTTTGTCGGACAACATAACCAAAATTTATTGCATGAAAATAAACGAAGTTACCAACTTACTGGAGGTCATGTTGGAGAAGTTCAGATCTACCTCAAGAACCGCTATAAACGGCGCCTACTTTAACATACGGGTATCTTAAGGTTAAGGAAACCTTCGACAAGCCGCTGGCTTCCTGTCCTCGCCCTGAGGTCAACAGGTAGGGTTAGTTGAGACAGAGTTTGAGCTGGAAGTTGGACATGCGTCGTATTGGTTTCAGGTCTTGGTAAGGCTTTTTCAGGGGTGTTAACGTGACGTTGGTGGCTGAGGTAAGGGCCGCCGCTATACTAGACGGGGTTTGGAGTTGGATTTGATGCTTGTAGGTGAGATTTAGATGTTGTTTTGAAGTTTATTCAGCGGCCTGGCCAGGAACAACACAGTCGTACTCCAAACGTTTGTTTGTTGACACTAGCGTCACATCGTACACAAGATGATTCGTCCACGGATCTTTAAACCTGCCTAACCTAACCTAGCTCAACCCAATCTAACCCAATCGAGCCCAATACAGCTAAATCTAAGGTAATACCTACCTCCAAACATAATAATGTATATACAATTTTAATAGACAAAAAATAAGCTTAATCGAATCGCCTCGAGTACGAAACGACCGTACCCCATCTGAGCGGTCGTTTTCCGGCCACGAACTTCAAAGAAAATGAGAAAATGACAACTGTAGAGGGGAGACCCTGATGTTCACATACAAGCCGGAGAGTCCTTGTCTTCGTCAATCTGCTGCGTTCTTGAGTTGATAGCGGTGATGTCTTACGAGTAAGGTCTTACATTTCTCAATATTAAAGGCATTTGTCAGCCTTCCGACCATTTGTGAAGTTCCTGTAGATCTCTTTGCAAGGCCTCAATATAAATTTCACTTCCCACTTTACCATAAATCTTATTTGAATATGTGGTTTGTAACATTTTTATGTAAGGCATTGATGTATATGACAAAAAAGGATTGGCCCCAATATGGAACCTCCTTCATTACATTTCTTTAATGAGATTCATTCACATTTAGAAGAACCTTTTAAGAACATAAGAACATAATAACAAAGGCAACTGCAGAAGGCCTATTGGTCCATACGAGGCAGCTTCTATCTATAACCACCCAATCCCATTCATATACATGTCCAACCCGCGCTTGAAACAATCGAGGGACCTCCACCACGTTACGCGGTAATTGGTTCCACAAATCAACAATCCTGTTACTGAACCAGTATTTACCCAAGTCTTTCCTAAATCTAAAATTATCCAATTTATACCCATTGTTTCGTGTTCTGTCTTGTGTTGATACTTTTAATACCCTATTAATATCCCCTTTGTTGTGTCCATTCATCCACTTGTAAACGTCTATCATGTCACCCCTAACTCTTCGCCTTTCCAGAGAATGCAACTGAAGCTTTGTTAATCTTTCTTCATATGAAAGATTCCTAATTTGGGGAATTAACTTAGCCATCCTACGCTGGATACGTTCAAGTGAATTTATATCCATTCTATAGTACGGCGACCAAAACTGAACTGCATAATCTAAATAGGGCCTAACTGGAGCAAGATATAGCTGAAGAATCACACCAGGTGTCTTGTTACTAACGCTTCAATTAATAAATCCCAGTGTCCTATTTGCCTTATTACGAACATTCATGCATTGATCCTTTTGTTTTAAATTCTTACTAATCATAACGTACAGATCCCTTTAGCAATCCTACTTCGCAATCTCAACACCATCTAGCTCGTATCTTGTAACTCTATCATCATTACCTAACCTCAGAACTTTACATTTATCAGCATTAAACTGCATCTGCCAATCCTTTGACCATTTCAAAACCCTATTTAGATCAACTTTGTAACGGTTCTATTGTTACGTAAAGTATGGTGACAATAAACACAGACACTAAGATACTATATATATATTTGGTCGAATATACAGAAGTACACAGGTGATACTTTGGTGTGAGTTGAGCGCACTGAGCGTTGGTACAGTATCTCGCAAGTGTCTGCTCTAGACCACACTTGAAAGTAGACTAGTTAATGTTCGCTACACCGCTGCTTATATTGCTCGGGCATCTCACCGTGTTGCCCGGGCAACGCCTCACCTCATTCATCTCCAAAGGTTGACAGGGACATTAACACTATATTTGGAGCGAGTATATTATTGGGATAATCTACTCGCTACAACTTGAAGTGATAGTGAGTCCTCTTCCGTATCAACCTCCCTACCGATTTTTGTATCATCGGCAAATTTGTTCTTATGTTTACCTGAGAGCCACTAACACTAGCGGCCTCGACGAGGACAAGAAGCCGACGGCTTGTCGAAGGTTCCCCTATTTGCCTTGGTGATCTTTTCCAGCTGTACTTTAAAAGTTAACAGAGTTTTGGCATGTATGGCTTCGGCGGGTAGGCGGTTCCATGGGTTAATAACCCTGTGGGTGAAAAAGCTTCTCCAGTTGTCAGTCCCACATTGTGGCTTGTTGAGCTTGACACCGTTGCTTGTGGCTCCTTGTTTGTGTTACAGCTGACCTTCTGAAGAAATTGTCCGGGTCAACCCCTCATTCTTATTGGCCTTGCCTACTTCACTATTTGACTTGTTATATGATGAGTTTATTGGATACGACTCCTCCCTCTGGCATTCACTTAGCAACCATTCCACGTTGACCAGACCACACACTAGAAGGTGAAGGGACGACGACGTTTCGGTCCGTCCTGGACCATTCTAGCACTCTAGCATTCTGGACCAAAAGCACTAACGATGCACTTATTAGTATGCTTAACTCGATTCATACAGCTCTTGATAAAAATGAGTTCTCTGTTGGGTTGTTTGTGGACCTGCGTAAAGCTTTTGACACTGTCAACCACCAAAACCTTCTTCTTAAATTACATCATTATGGAGTCAGAGGACACTCCCTACAATACCTCAAATCCTACCTTACTGACAGGCTCCAATATGTTTCTGTGAATAACACAATTTCTCCCACCCTACCCATCAACATTGGTGTTCCCCAGGGCAGCATACTTGGCCCTCTCCTCTTTCTCATCTACATTAATGACCTTCCAAATGCCTCCCAACACCTCAAACCAATTCTATTTGCTGACGACACAACCTTCATTTACTCCAGTCCTGATCCCCTTGCTCTAAATGCCACAGTAAATACTGAGCTAAATAAAGTCCATCTGTGGCTAACTGCCAACAAACTCACCCTTAACATTGACAAAACCTTTTATATTCTGTTTGGCAATAAATCCTCTAATCAAATAAATCTCAAAATAAACAATACCCAAATTTGTAACAAATTAGATGGCAAATTCCTTGGCATTCTCATTGACCACAAGCTTAATTTCCAGGGACACATTCTAAACATATCCAAAAAAGTTTCAAAAACTGTGGGCATTCTTTCTAAGATCAGATATTATGTACCACGCCCTGCCCTGGTGACTCTCTATTACTCCCTTATCTATCCATATCTCAACTATGGTATTTGTGCTTGGGGCTCTACTACCCAAAATCACTTACGTCCTCTAATTACTCAACACAAAGCTGCTATTAGGACAATATCCAATTCTGGCCCCAGACATCACTCGGTACCCCTACTTAAATCTCTGAATATGTTAGACATTAAGTCACTGCACATTCTCTCATGTGTATTATACATATATAAAACGCTAAACTATAATGCCAATCCTGATCTCAAAAGCTTCATAGAAGGTTGTATCAGAACCCATGAGCATCACACCAGAAATAAATACAGTTTTGATATTCCTAGAGTACGACTTAATCAAACTAGAAATGCTCTACAAATCAAGGGGCCCAGAATGTGGAATGACCTTCCCAACCATGTTAAAGACTGTACCTCTCTCAACCAGTTTAAGATAAAAACGAAGCTATACCTAATAAATTCCCTGTAACCTACCTTACCCTTCTATTGTCAACCAATGTCTGTTTTTTTCTTTAAGAGCGCTGTTTGTCGACATAATTGTATTTGTGCTGCTTTTTCATCTATGTTTTCATTTCTTGTTTTCATTCTACTCATTATGCTCAATTAGTATTAAGCTTGTCATTTAAGTTTATCATGCCCGAAACGCTTTGCGTAATAGTGGCTTTAGGCATTGTATGTACTAGCTCTACCTATAAGTCAAACAATCCTTGTAAATATTTATTGTATGTATGTACCTTACCTAAATAAAATTGTATTGTATTGTATTGTAACACTTAGTGGGCCAGCCAGAGGCTTGTATTGTATTGTAGTTTACCCGAGTGTATTCTCAAGTCGATTCCCAATCGACTTGAATAATGGTCCAGGACGGACTGAAACGTTGTTGTGTACATAGCCTTAGTATACATAGCTTAGTTAACTTCTGTGACTTATTTAACCCATAATTAACTAAGACTATGATTATTGTTTACTTAAGGATTAAATTCACACTTCACAAATGTGTGAAGTGTGATTGACAAATGTGTCAATCAATCATCGGGAAGAATGTACGATTGTGAGTTACTTGAAAGTAACTAAGCTATAAATAATTGTAATTAATAATAATTGTTAATTAATACTAAATAATATTATTTAATAAATTAGTCCCAATTCAATGCAGAGTTTTCTTCCAAGCACAGAAACTTGTAAATATAAATACAAGATAATAGATAGATCGATAAATAAATAGACAACTTTCAAATATTGCACCAAGTAATGGCGAGAGGAAAAAAACTAGACAGTATACATTACATTTGAAATTAATAATGGATGAATGGTAATAAATTGGTGTATGTTTGTATGTATACCAGACAAAGTCCATTTAATGGCAGAATTTAGCCATTTTGTGTAAAAACTTTTATATCTCATATTAATAATTATAACAGTAATCGAAAAAAGTCATAGTTTGTATATACAAGAGATGAAACAGAGAGCCATGAGCTAGAGCGATGTGCTGAGTCCATAAGGAGGCGGAGCTTCCAGAAATACCTTCCTGTGATTGGCTGTTGCGGGGAATGCCAACACTCTTTTATGAATAAAATTTAAACTAAGAAATAGGTCCTTGTGCACAACAACAAGGTTGTTGTGAAAAAGAACAACAATTTCTGTTTTGCACCTGACAGAAATCTCCATCTAACTGAATAATTTACTCGAATAAGAGGGCAGAGCAGTGTATCATTATTTGTGTGAGGCAATTAACACCCACTGATGACGTCACAAGTTAGGTAGCCAGCCCATGTTTCTGTAACACCCGTTACATCCTATAGTATTTAATTATCACTATATTAATACTTTTAAACACTTAACATTTCACTTTTTAGGTAGATTAAAGTTGAAACAGAATGTCATAAGCAAGGATGGTGTGCTGAATAAAGATGATTTATTAAGTGGATGGCACCTTTAGCTGATCCCTTCCTGTGATTGGCTGTTGTGTGAATGTCAACAAAGAATATCTACCAATGATATGCCATTTATTATGCACCCCATACCATCTGTGGGCGGAGCTTGGAACCTCCTACCCGAGCACAACAACCCGCCTTATGGGTTGCTGTTTGACTATTAATAGTGCGTTGGAAAAGCAACAGATGGCGCTAGTTGTATTTTGTGGGGTAATTTGTTATAAGTGTAATTTGATGTCAACAGATGGCGTAAGCTGTATCTTATGGCCACTGTTGACCTGCCAGTTGAAAGTGTTATTATCTGCCGACAGATGGCATCAGCTGTATTATTATTATTTTAATAATATTATTACATTATTAATAATGTATTATTATTGCTCTAAACACTGATCTATACGTCTGGTAGCTTATAATAAGGTTTTATACCATGCTGGTATTAGGTAACTAGAATTCTGCAATTACATTTTTTTGTATCTACTGTTGAGGATATGTAAGACAAATGTAAGGTTTTGAGGCTAGGTAACGATGATAGTTACAAGATATCATTTTCGTTACAAGATAATCATATCAAGATTATCAATAGGTACAATATAGCATAATTTGAGGATTATTTCTAGATACATTGTAGTAAAATTTGCATTCAACATAACAACATGATATGAGATGATAGCAGTGATTACAATGGTGAAGTTGTAAGGCTTATTTTCAGACTCCAAACATGTGCAGTGAGTCAGAATTCGGCTCAAAAATCACGGTCAGGAGTCAAATTTCCGACATTTCAGATATTTTGAAAACTGCAGGGGGGTTTGGGCAAAATATGACCCATCGCCGTTTTCGGTAATTAGCATATTTTCGGTAAAAATGTTGTAATTTGAAAATGAAAACAGGTGCAGAGTCAGAATTCGGCTCAAAAATCTCGCTCAGGAGTCAAATTTCCGACATTTCAAATATTTTGAAAACTGCAGGGGGGTTTGGGCAAAATATGACCCTTCGCCGTTTTGAGTAATTAGCATATTTTCGGTATAAAAGGTTGTAATCTGAAAATGAAAATAGGTGCAGAGAGTCAGAATTCGGCTCAAAAATCACGCTCAAGAGTCAAATTTCCAACATATCAGATATTTTGAAAACTGCAGGGGCGTTTGGGCAAAATATGACCCATCGCAGTTTTCAGTAATTAGCATATTTTCGGTATAAAAGGTCGTAATTTGAAAATGAAAATAGGTGCAGAGAGTCAGAATTCGGCTCAAAAATCACGCTCAGGAGTCAAATTTCCGACATTTCAGATATTTTGAAAACTGCAGGGGCGTTTGGGCAAAATATAACCCATCGCATTCCAGCTGTACCCGTGGGGCGGTGTTGGGAACCATCAGTATATATGATTTGAGAGAGAATACTCTGCGGAGAGAGCTTCAATATGGCTTAAGGCGTTGAGCTTTGCCTCAAGACGAAGCTTGGGCTGATCTCTAATTTGTTTCTTGGGTGGAAAGGGAGAGATTAAAAAATGGAAACTGCCCGAAACGCTTTGCGTAATAGTGGCTTTAGGCATTGTATGTACTAGCTCTATCTATAAATCCATCAATCTTTGTAAAATCTCTTGTATGTATGTATGTACCTTACCTAAATAAACATTTATTTATTTATTATTTCATGGAAAGGGTGTAATCACCCACGGTGCAGCTTCTGAAGGAAGTTCTTATGCTCGTCAGCCTTGCATACGCCGCTGATGTTATCCTTTTGAGTGGCCACGTCTGAGTTAAAAAACAAAAAAGTGGCACCAGGCATAATCCAATCTCACCTACGTGTCCTGCAATGTTCATGTATCATATATACCCCCACTTGTAAGCGTAAAATATTGTTATTGGTGATATTATGAGTAGTGGAGAGTGAGAGGAGCGGGTCGTCTGCACCTACGTGGACACTATACCCCGTCAGCGGCTCCTTCACAGCTGCTCCGTCACAACTCCCTCATATTTAGCCCCATAACCCGCCTGTGAGGCACCAGTAGGGGTTGTGAGGAGTGGTGAGAGTGTGTGTGTGTGTGAGGTGGCGGCCAGGACATGGATTACTTGAGGTCTGTCACCCAGAGCGTGCTGGGGGCGCCGCCCCCGGGACACCAGCCTACTGGCGCTGATACAGTAAGATACTTTTATGTGTCTCATGTATCATTAGGGGGGCGGGGGGCTACTGGTGTACAAGCTGGCTAGGATATTGTTACATATTTTTGTTCATTTTTATTGTTTAGCTGTGAGAAATTCTGTATGTTAATGGCTTTGTAAGACTTACATAGTCACATATGTACTGTATGTGTACTTTCTCAGCCACTATGTACCTTCTTGTGTGCGTATAAATGTATAAGTAAAATGGCACACACCTTGGGCTACATTAAATTATTTATCGTCTCAATATTGCTTTATTTTGTTCTCGTTTGTCCGAAGCGTTGTACGTACTATTTTTTTAATTATATATACAAGAGTTCTTACATTCTAGTACAGCCACTAGCATGTATAGCGTTTCGGATAAGTCCTTAATTCTAATATTCCACGGAATACGACCCGCCAAATCGTTTAACAACTAGGTACACATTTTACCATTGGGTGAACAGAGGGTGCAGTTAAGGATTGGCGCCCAGTCAATCCTCCCCGGCCAGGATACGAACCCAGGCCAAAGTGCTCACGAAACGCTGGGCAAGTGTCTTACCACTGCACCACGGGGACTGCTGGCTGCTGAGTATATACTTAGTGGCTTTAGGCAGAGTATATACACTAGCTTTATCTAGAAATCCAACATCTTGTTTGTAACTCATTTTCTGCGAATAAACTTTTACCTGAATAAACATTATTATTATTGTGATGTCATTGGTCTCTGACCACAAGAAAGTTATTGCACGCACCATGCATATAGTTTTATTTTAAAAAGTTATGAACAGAGAAAGCAGGACATTCTATATAATGACACTGGAATGGACGCTGTATGTGCAGTTAATACGAAGATATTAAATAAATAAATAATAAATAAATAAATGTTTATTCAGGTAAAGTACATACTTACAATAGGTTTTACAAAAATTGATAGATTTATAGATAGAGCTAGTACATACAATGCCTAAAGTCACTATTACGCAAAGCGTTTCGGGCAGGAAATATTAGCAGAAAGCTGACAACATCCGAAGTGTCATTGTGAGCCAAATATTTGAAGTTCCTGATGCTGGTCTCCAGACAAGTGTGCATTTAACCCAATTTGTACATAGTTCTAGTGGTATAAACATGTTCAATACGTTAATAATAATATAACAGAGATTATGGGTTGGTGTATGAGTGTTGTATGCTCATGTTGAGAGTGTGAGTGAGTGTATACGTAATGCTATTGAGTACACATTTAATGTATTTGCTATATGTGCTCTTCTCAAAATGCTATGCATGCTTGTGGCTTTACAAGGATGCAAGGATGTAAAAAATCAATGCTATGTACTCTCATAAACCCACTGTACCTTCTTGTATATAAATAAATAAATAAATAAATGTATATGCAGACAAGCCTGAACGGCTTATAAATGTATATAAATAGTCTCCCTAGTTTAGTGCCTTCTTTAAATAATTGCAGTACTTACTTAATGTGTTAAGGTGTTACTGTAAGCAATATATTTCTAGGGCCCTTAACCACTGTAGTGTGCCCACCATGATATCATGAGAAAAGGGAGTGCGCACACCAACATATCATGTTTTTTAGTATTTCGTAAGATTCAGAACGCCTGCGGGTACATGGGACTTGCATTCTGTTCCTCAGGACTTCATTTTGAAAAAAAATTGTCTGTATTCCTCCTGGGTAAGAGAACCTCAGTGCTGCCAGAGGGAAAAAAGGCAGGCACATGCAGCAAGAGCTCACTCGCACTGCTTAATAATGTTGAATAAAATAAGTAACTGTGATTATTTTGTGATAATAGCGTTATAGATCTATATATGTACGGAATTGTAATTTATTTTCAGGTAGAACGGTTAATAGACAGGGTCCAGTCGTCTACTCTTCTAGAAGATCGTCGTGATGGCTGCCGAGCACTTAAGGCCATGTCTCGGAAATACAGAGTTTTGGTTGGTGCTTATGGGATGGATACACTTATACAAGTTAGTATGTGTGTGTATTTACCTATATATATATATTATCCATAATTTTCTAACTAAAATTTTTTCCTTATTTGTTTTCAAATGTAATAAACTAATTGGTTTTATTGTAATCTTTCATGTAAATTTCACGACTAGTGCTTAGTACGTGAATTCCTTTTCTAGGTTGTGAACTTGGCCAAGACAAGATTATGCAAATGTTAACCAATTGCTTGCTTAATTTTGTAATGCCAGCTTGGCCTAAAGTAAGAAAAATCAATAGGCGTCTATTTTTTGAGTTTGCATGCCACTATTTCCGAAGGTATATCGTATGATCTGCATTTTTACGGGATCATTAGACAGACAGAATTTATATGGCATAAATGCCATAGGGATTATGGTTGTCCTTGCACCATTATTTTAAGGTACAGGTACTTGTGAGTTGAGTTTGCAAGCACTAATTTCAAACTCCATCGATTGCATAGACCACATCAACCAATGGACAATTACTACTGCAACCTGTCCTCTTACAAAGAACATCGTATTTCAATCATGTGTGTTACGTGAGGCCAAAAATTGTCGTATTTGGAAATAGAAGCATCTCGCGAAAGTGACGTACTGTCCTGGGTTCTCTGGTAGGTTAGGAGAGGACACTTTAATTTGACTATTTTCTTGATGCTGGGAAACCTTAGACAGACGGACTGCCTACTGATCCATCAGCCAATCACATGCCCAGTTAACCAAACCCACCACCAGGTGATAGCACCAACAAAACATTTGCATTGTCCACATATACCAACTTCTCCAACATCCTGACTATGCTAGCAGCCATAGGCAAGCAAGCACTGCTACTTGATCAAGTTATTCACTTCTACCAGCCTCGGGTGAACTGGGCCAAGTTCATACTGACTGTTATTCTCAACCTTCAGGTGGTCATCAGTATTTTGAATCAAAACAAATTGTCATTTGATGATGATTGCAATGCTATAATCAACATATAATTTAATCAATACTTAATAATATAACTACACTCTGAGGGATTAAAAACTATTTCAATGCCTTTTTGATGACTTGTCATCTGTATTCTTTATTTAGTTTAAGATTATATATCGTGCATGTTTTTCTTTGTGTACAGTATTATTATTGCTCCATTTCAGGTTCTGGAGGCTGACAGAAGTGACCATGAAATTGTTAATTACTCATTAGAGACTCTGGTTAATATCACATCTCCAGAAGAGTATCCAGAAGAAATAGGTAGGAAGTTATGTTATGAACCAGCTTGGCTTTTTGTATTATTTATATTGGTTTTACCTTTCCATCATATTAATGAATTGGTTTTAAGATGATTTTCTGTGGGGAGTCCCGTCGGCTCCTTGAAGCTATCCAAACTGACATATGCCAAATTAGTTTGGTGTCATCAGTCCCGGGAGTTCTGTGCCTACTGGAGACCAGAGTCGGAACCTGGTCCACACAGAGAGGCGCAGGGAACTATGGCTGTATTAGCACTCACTCTACATTTAGAATACAGTACTGTATGTCATTTGTGTCATCGACCAGGGAAATCACCCAGAAAGGTAGGCAAAACTTTGCTCCCCCCTTCCCCTCATGGGGAAGGGGGGAGGAGCACTAACGAGCGGGCGCACTAGTTGGATGTTGATGCTAGCTGTTTGTTTGTTTGTTTTCTTTTGAGGGGAGTTCTTTGTCTTTGTTTGGACAAAAGTTACAATTTTCACCAGTAGAGGGATTGTATTGTTTTGCCTACCTTTCTGGGTGCTCTCCCTGGTCGATGTCACATGTCAGTTTGGATAGCCTCAGGGACCCTACGGGGGATTATCCAGAAAATGGCATTTCATTACATTCAACGCTGGGTTTTTTTCATATCTTGCATTAAAAGTTATACAAGGTATATATCTTGACTACTCTCATTTATCTGGAAGGAGGGGGTGGGGGAGGCAGGCTCTGGCTCTGGTGTCCAGTAGGCAGAACTTCCACAACCGATGTGACCTGTAGTATGGGGCAATCTCAGCACGATAGTTACAGGAAGCCACCAGGGTTCTACCAGAAACAGGCATTTCATTACATTCAACACTGGGTTTGTATCACGAAACTTGTAGAATATCGGTATTCACAAATACAGTATATTCACATTACTAATATGGGTTAAATAATAAATCATACTAGTTTTGTTGATATCACACTGTATACATGCATTACATGTAACTATCTTTATGTTTATGCACCATTACAAACATTAAACAGTTCAGGTGGGTGTGAAAATCCTGGAACCAGTTGTCCAAGCACAGCCTACCCCCCAACACCTGTTGAAGGAAAATGGCACCTGATATCGCTATGCACACTGCTAACATTAGCCAAAATACTGCTGTTATTATCAGAATTCTGGTGACAAAATTCCGAAAAGGAATTTTTTTTCTAGGCGAGCATGAGGTCCTGTTGCATGATGAGTGCACATTTGACTTTTCAAATAACAGTGAGACAAGGAAAGTACATTTAATACTGCTGCTTTACTTTTGACTTTTCATAACTTAATAATTATGTCTTTCCGAAGGAAAATAAGGCTCTCGGCTGTAATAAATTTGTTTCACGAGATTATAATGTAATCTTTTCCACACAGAAGATGAAGGTGCAACTCTAACTGGTCACGCCTCTGCAGTAGGAGAGCAGTTCACCGAGATATTCACCAAGCGGCAGGAGAACATAGAGCTCTTGGTCAACCTATTGGATGAGTTTGATTTCAAAGTGCGCTATCCTGCAGTAAAACTACTCATAAATTTACTTAAAAATCGGTTAGTAAACTGTATTGTTTTAATTTCTTTATTAGTTTTGTCTTGCAGTTCAGTTTGGTTGTACAGTAATTAGTTATAAGGTGTTTCTTATCAGTTGATAAAAATGCTGCAGTAATGAGAGAGAGAGAATTGTAAAATACAGTATAGTATTTGCTGTATATTGTTGGTAGTTTTATTGTATTTTAAGCTTTCCCACTTTGTTGACTTCTAAGGTGAATACAACATTCTGCTGCAATATGGCAGTAAATATTGAAGTCAAGTAGGGTAATATTCTAATTAGTGGCACTACTGGAAACACTTTAACTATTGACATAGGGACATACTGTACTGATATTAGGGAGCACCGGAAGAGATCAGCCAGCTAAAGTGAGCTACAAGACTCGACATCATACTCGCTTAAAACCTTTGCGGTCCCTACTTGTCAACCCTGTGACCACCGTGGAGCATCTTGACTACTGTTTGGCTTTGTCATGGTTCAACTGTATGGTGGCAGTGCCTGAGCCACAACGTATATATATACCACCATACTGTGTCACATTTTCCTGCCAGTCATTCATATTGGAGAACCATATTAAATTTGTGGCTGTTAAATACATTGAAGTTTTTTGGAATGGGGTCATGCTTACACAGAATTGCTTGGAGTGTATACCATTATTCCACAGGCAGCTTGATATATGAGGTAGATGATTAGTGCTTCATACTGGGTGTCTTTCATTCATCTTTCATAGTAGTGCATGATTTCCCACCAGGTCCTATCCTGACTAGGCCTTAAGGTTTCACTTGCCTTTCATTGCCAAGAGTATCACATCATGAGGTTGGGGAATGATGATATCTTGCCTGTGCAGCTAAGATTTGCTCCTATATTCTGGCAAAGGCAGGGCCCCTGGTGACCTGTTATTAGTCATGCGCCAGTTTGCGTTGTGCAGTATTATTCTGCGTCCGGAGAATCCACAGCTTGCTGTATGGTGCAGCATGCAAGATTGGTGAATGGAGAACATATTACTATACAAATGGTCACTCCTGTTGTCTCCTGCATTCATCCTGTTACATTTTCAGTTATATTTCCCCCCTGGGTGGGTGACATTTGTGGTGTTTGTGTGGGGACTTTCTTGGCTCCTTCTCAGTAGACTATGTATGCAACACCTTCCAAGTTGAGGACTCGGGCTCATAAATACTGTTGGTGTAGTTCGTAGTTTACACATTTTGAAAATGTTCCGCATCCTCCGCACTCTTTTGAGGAACTAGGCAATCTTGTTGCTATGACCTGCAAGATGTTTGGCGGAAAAGGTCTGTACAGTGTGCATATGGTTGGGTTTACGTAACCTAACCTAAGAAGCACCTCAAGGTAACATACAGCACTAAAATTACTGTACACTACATGAGCCTGGAATGGTCAGTTCTGACTGCTAGCTGCTGAAGCATCACTGATTAAAGGCTCTTTGCTTTCTGGTGAGGCTTTACTTTTCCTCTTCACAATATTGTTCCTCGCTTTGAAGCTGGAAATCTAATCTTTACTTTGCCTTGAAATGCATCATTCCAAGGCTGGCTGCAAACCTGCTCGTAGCATTTCTTATTTCTGCACCACGAATTGTCACACAAACTGTGCAGTGTTGTGCAAACCACTTATACACAGCCTCATCCAACTATGCATTTTTGTGCAGGCTTCTTTCTATTACACCCCCTTCTAGCACAAGCTCCCTCACTCACTAGTAGCTGTGTGTTTCATGTAGTTATCTTTGTTTTCCTATATCAGAGACAATACTCATGCCTATACCAAAATTTGGTATGAGACAATACTCATGCCTATACCAAAATCTTTGCCAACACTTACAATTGACCAGCTATTTTCACAAAGTTCAATCACACATAACTTGTCTTTAATTTTTAGCATAGCTTTCTTTCTCTTAATACCACCGGGATAATTGTTGCCGATACCAAACCAAGTCGGCAAAAAATTATCAACGTTTCTACAAAAACAAAAAACAAAAAGTTTTTCAGTCATGGCATGGCACTCTGGTATAATGCGAGGGTGGGGGGGGGGGGGAGAGCACATGGCTTATTTACGTTGACCGAGCCTGGACAGGTCCAGTTGGGGTGCATGACCAGCAGAGGAAAAATAAACCTCTAATTTTATCAGGGAACTACACACTCCAGCTTGTATACACAGTCTTTAAGATATTTTCTGTTGCTATGATACAGTATTAATATTTGTATGTTTTTTATTATAAATGAATTGTTTTAATATAATTTTTGGTTATACGGTAATCATATGCCTCCACATGCCTCTCATCCCCCAGATGGTCCATAATGGTCCTGACTATTCCCCTGACACCCTATACCCAACACCACTCGCTCCAACACCTCCCATACCCTGCCCCCTCAAGCCACTGCTGTATGGGGATTAATGCGGTATAGCCCGATGCTGTTCTTGGTTCTCTGACCAACCCTCCAGTTATCTGGATTCCTGTCCAGATGGTGAAGTTTTCAAATATCTGGATGCGATTTTGACCGGTTCAGCGTTGGAATTGAATCTCCCAGGAATTGAATCTCGTTTCTGTCTTGACTGTGTTGTTTGGTCCCTGCTTGTGCTGCCTAACTAACATGCCCTCTTTTTTCCTTAAGGGTTTAGCTTGGGTTCTCTGGGACCTGCCCTGGAAACACCAACCGAAACTGTCTCTATTTTCCGCTTGTTACAACTTGTAATAAAGTTGTTACATCTTGGCTTAACGTGTTTATGACGTATTAGAACGTTGTTACAACTTGCTATATTGGTTGTTATAACAGGTTACGAGGTGTTAAAACTTGTTCGAACGTTGTACCAACGTCGTAGTTTCGGTGTGTGTTTGGCGGGTGGTTGCTTGTTTGGTGGGGGCACAATATACGTCTTCCCTGTTTTCTTTTATGGTATTCCCTCACCACTGGTGGCCTGTCAGGTTGCTCCAGTTTCCCGTAGGCATGGGCTTGAGGCTTCTTCTTGTATTATTAAGGATGTTATTTTATTTTTGCCAGAATGCTTTATTTGTTTATTTTTGTTTGTTGTTTTGGCCTATATTTGCTGGCTTGGGTTTTGTCTTCATGCTTGTGCCTTTTCCCTCTCTTTCTCCATGGTAAGTCTCATTTTTGTTCTCTGTGGTTAGTTAGCTTTAGGGAGTTAACAGGAGCTTCCAATACAAATCTAGTATTAAATGTAATGAAATGCTTCTTTCTGGAGAAGCCCCAGTGGCTCTGATATCCCCCGCCCCCCCAACCCTCCTGGTTCGTTAGTTTGTCATTGTGGTGGTTCATCAGCTCCAGGACTAAGGGAGCCGGCCGGGGTCAGGCCACTTGGTGGTGGTAATTGGTACTAATGAGTTTCAAGCTAGTTTGAGTGAATCTTTTGTTCTATGTGAATCGTTAGTGGAGATGTTTGACAGTTTTGAGGCTTCGTTTTCTGTGACCCCTCCAGTTGCCTGTAAAATTTTGCCGACTTTGTGGAGGCTTTTTCCTGATAGGGCGGTGAATTGTCACTCGCTCCTTGTGCCACTATGGTTGTGTTCTATTGACCCGGGTCTGGTTGTGATCCCCAGTAGGCCAAACAAAACTTCTGTGACTTACGTGACCTTTTAGTATGAAGCAATCTCGGCCAGATCACTTCAGGGAGTCACCGGGACTCCTCTAGTTCATTACATTCATTACCAGACTTTTACAAATACTGTAGGTAGAAATGCAATAAATGTTTGTGGTGGTGTATTCCTGTACAGACCAAGAGATCTACAAGAGGTGATCCTTGTTATTCCAAGTGGAGTCTCCAAGCTTATGGATTTGCTCTCAGACAGCCGGGAAGTCATCAGGAATGATGTACGTATATCTCATTGAAAATATATTGTTTAGGCATATTTTTTGTTTACAGTATGTTTAAAGATTTGATATATATAACAGTTTTCTTCATATAGTTCTTACTGGAGTATTAAAACTGGTACTCTTGGATATAGTGATTCCTGTGTACATGCGGTTAAAATTACTGTTTTCAGACTTTATTGCTTTTGACACAACTTACAAAAAGCAATACCAACCTTCAAAAGATTGTAGCTTTTGAAAATGGCTATGATCATATGTTTGAGATAATTCAAGGAGAAGGATTTGCTGATGGCGGCGTTGTCGTGGAAGACTGTCTCATTCTAATGCTCAATCTTCTGCGTAACAACCCTTCAAATCAGACGTTTTTTAAGGAAGGTGAGTTATGAACCAAAGGGCAGTCATTTGATTATTGGCACTAATCACAAAACATTCTGCATTAAAAATCATGTTTCCAATGCTAATCAAATGAAGACTATGGCTCTCTTCTGTCTAAGAAACACTGATGATTTCTGTATTATAGAACGTACTCAATTCAAGTTTAAAATAAAGTGTACACTTTTCAGGAAGCTATATTCAGCGACTTGCATCATTCTTTTCACTGCCTTTGGATTCGAGAGATGGTTGGTCGGCACAGAAGGTCACTAACATTCACTACATGTTACAGGTTTGTGGTGTCTTTTTCTTTTTCTTTCTTTTTCATTTTGGTTCAATCACAGGTACCATTGGAACAGCACCCTTAACCCACAATCCTTGTGAGGGATATTGATTCGGGTTCAAGCCATGGGCAGGGAATAACGATTAGGCATAGTTCCGTTACTGTTCACCCAGAAGTATTTTGGGACCTGGTTGTATACTAAATGGCAAATCATGTTCCAAAAAAACCCAGTAGGATATGACTTAGGATGAGTTTGGGGTGAGGAATAGCTCTAAAAATACTAACAAGATTCAGGAGTCATTTACTCCTGTGACCTTCCTAAGGTACAATCCACTGTATCATAGGACATGATCATGTACAAGCATCTGGTTTTGCATCCTATAGGTACTTGTGCAATAATCTTAACTAAATGATGAATCACAGCAAGGAGTCTTGGATGTACACATAAGCATATTGTTTGCAAAATAAGAAAAATCTTAGGAGCTGTTTCCAGTAAGACGAGTTCTACGGTAGCTTTGTAAACTAGGATTTAATCTCTCCTCAGATTCCAAAATGTTAAATTTGATTGTATACAAAGATAGTGGTATGTTGTTTTCCAACAGCTTGTTCAAACACTAGTGGCCCCTCAGAATGCAGCACAAGTAGTGACATCTTGCCAGAAGGTAATGAATCAATGTGGACTACTGCAGGCGCTCACAGGTCTGCTGATGGCCCTAGGTGTGCCTGTTGACATTCTCACCGATACCATTACCACCGTCTCGGACATGATTCGTGGAAGTCAAGCTAATCAAGAATTTTTTGCGAGTATGCTGGCACCGTCTTCTCCACCCAGGTACTGGTTCCTATAATTATCATGTAATTATAATAGAGTAGTATTTATTCATAAGTTATTTTATACAGTACTGTATATATAAATGTTAATTAAGTCCTGTTCATTCATAATTCATGTTAGAAGCTTAGTCTACAAATTATGTCTTCCTTCCCGGTAGACCCTTCCCGGTAAATATCAGTCGAATGCCCTAGTAAATCACACACACAGATCACAATAACGCGATGCATCAAATGAACAAATCCACAAGGGCCGTGAAGAGGATTCGAACCAGCGTCCAAGAGTCGATTAAGGCAGTGTCTGGGATGCTCCCGGACGCAGGTTCGAATCCTCGTCACGGCCCTTGTGGATTTGTTCGCCCTAGTAAATATTTCCCACTAAATATCAGTCGAATGCCCTAGCATAAAATGTTCAATATGTCCTCCCTATAGATAAGGGACGCATTCCAGGAGAATCTCAACATGTGTAAAGATAAAACGTTAGGTTATACAGTACAGGAAAAATGTGTGCTTTCCGGTGATATCATAAAGTCAGAGTTGTTCCACTAAACAATAAACCTATCTAAACATTAATATCATGTTGACCTAACCCCCACACACTAGAAGATGAAAAGATGACGACATTTCAGTCCTTCCTGGACCATTATCAGGTCGATTGCTACCATTAATATTATGTAACTTCCTAGTAAAAAATAGTGGGCGGTATGCACTACAGTCTTAGGCCTAATTTATTACATATATGTACTATAATATCCTATACTATAATAGCAGTCTCCGTGGTGTAGTGGTAAGACACTCGCCTGGCGTTCCGCGAGCGCTATGTCATGGGTTCGTATCCTGGCCGGGGAGGATTTACTGGGCGCAATTCCTTAACTGTAGCCTCTGTTTAACGCAACAGTAAAATGTGTACTTGGATGAAAAAACGATTCTTCGCGGCAGGGGATCGTATTCCAGGGACCATAGGATTAAGGACTTGCCCGAAACGCTACGCGTACTAGTGGCTCTACAAGAATGTAACAACTCTTGTATATATCTCAAAAAAAAAAAAAAAAAAAAAAAAAAAAAAAAAAATATGCATAGGAAAAGTTAGGTTTAGTTACAATCTTTCTCTGGCCCTCTAAAATTAATAGTACAAAATGTTGATTTGTTTTTAAATGGTGTTTCTTGATTATTGATCAGGAGAATCCTACTGTTAAACACGAGATCACATTATAAGAACAATAGTAGAGACGATTGGTCACTATAACGTGGCTGAAGATATGTTGATCAAACCCCACACACTGGAAAGTGAAGAGACGCAGAGCAATAGCTTTTATAAATGTCATGTTTTGCAGACCTGCCATCGTGGTGTTATTGATGTCGATGGTAAACGACAAGCAGCCCTTCATACTGAGGTGTGCCGTCTTGTACTGCTTCCAGTGCTTCCTCTACCGCAACCACACAGGCCAGGCCCAGATCATCCAGACACTGCTGCCTCACACTGCTGATGGTGGGTTGACTTGGTTAAATAGCTTGCAATTCACTTCTGAATATTGGACTCCAGCCACTTGGACTGGACGGTAGAACGACGGTCTCGCTTCATGCAGGTCGGCGTTCAATCCCCGACTGTCCAAGTGGTTGGGCACCATTCCGTCCCCTTGTCCCATTCCAAATCTTTGTCCTGACACCTTCCAAGTGCTATATAGTCTAATAGCTTGGCACTTTCCCTGATAATTCCCTCCCTTCCCTCACCTCTGAATAGCTTAAATATGCTTAATATATACCTTAATTGCATGTACTGTACTGTATATAAATATTTAAATTAGCGTACATATTTTCTTGTTCTTTTGAAGTTTTCTTTGTGAAATAATTTTCGTGTAGAGTAATTCCAAGTCGACAGACGATTATATTGTGTGTGTTGTTTTGCCTGTTAAGGTGTTATCAAACATATTGCAGTATAGATCTTGATATAATTCAAGTTAAATTATTGGACATGTGTGTGTATTAGGTGACTGAAGAATAAGATGATAGGTTATGCCCTCACACACATATACAGCTGAAATAATCTTTCTCATAATAATAATAAGCAGCCATAATCATAAGCAACTTGTGCAGGCTGACTTGAAGATATTCAGAAACATTATTATTTGCTCCTTATTTAATTTGATCTGTACAGGTTGTATTATTGGAAGTATTCATAGGCTTTTAGTTACAATATACGTGATGCTGTGCCTGAATTTACCTGAGGGCCACGAACACTCAATAGTGCCACAATAGTGACCTCAATACGGCCTCAGTAATGGCCTATAGTGGCCTCAATAAGTGATGCTGTACATCACAATATACATGATGCTGTACAATACAAGTCATGATGGCTCCCGGGAGGCCAGGCCGCTGTTGTGGAAAGCCTCGCCTATGGCTGTTCATTAGTCTTTGACCTCTCTGTTTGGGCCCTTGATTCGTGATGTTCGTTGGTGTAGCTGGGGCATGCTGCGGCTCGAGTGTTTATTTAATTGATGCCAGTCTTAGCCTGGTGGTTGTAACTGTGTGTGGCACCTCTCTCTGCCGAGCGGCCTCGGTGCCTGGGTGTGGGGTATGCCCCTGTGAGAAATCTCGCTGCACGTTCCGAACAAATATGTCATGAAAATCTTTTCAGACGGTAACTTGCTTGTAGTTGGGGGATACCCTGTACATTAATTGTTATGCATTAAGTTATCAAAAACCCAGTCAAATCAAGTATAAATTATTAAAAATACAAATATCTATGGAAAATAATGGGTGCATTACTAATCCAACTATCTTGGTTGATGAACTGTACCACTGAAATTTTGTAATATCTTGGTTTACTGCACTCTTTATCATGCATAGCCAATAATATTCACTTGCGTATAGTACTATAATAAATGCTAATTAAACCCCTATATATATTACTCCAAAATCACAATACATCATTTGGATATCTGTGATATTACTTACCCAAAATATTAATTACAAAATTATCTCCATTCTCGGTAACATGTCGTCCAGTTAGGCTCAAAGCTCATGACAATACTGTAACCGTTTTCTGCAATTCTCTGCCTGTTTGGTTGTCACTTGCCCGTGGCATTTGATATACCATGGGTCAGTATGACAAACAATACCCACTCTTCTCTGCATAACGATTTACATAATTGTGGACACAAAGCTGTACATAATACTGTTAATGGTGCTTTACTCGATACCGATTATGCTGTGCATGATGGTGGTTTATACAACCTTTCAGCTAGTACATCTCATTCTGTACATTATAGTCCCCAGTTTACAATGTACAGTACAGTACTATGAAAAGTAGCGACACTCAAATATCCACGTTTTCTATGCATCAGCATGGTAGGCTAGGTGGGATGCTAGGGGGTTTATATATATTCCTGGTTAGGTTAGAACTGTATTTTGTATGGTATGGCAAATCCAGAGAACGGGATGGTATATAATGGTGTGCGCGCTTGTGTGTATGTGTGACTCTGTTAATGATATTGCACATGATTGTGTATAGAATAGTATTAATGATGCTATGCATGATGCACAATGATTCTGAACATGATGCTGCATTGTGCGTGATACTGGATACATAATGCTGCACAAGATGCTGTACTGTGTGTGATACTGGGTATGTGATGCTGTACTGTGCACGATACCGGGTACGTGATGATGTACTCTGCGTGATACTGGGTACATGATGCTGTACTGTGCGTGACACTTGGTACATAATGCTGTACTGTGCATGATACTGCACATGGAACAGTAAATGATTCTATACATTGCTGACAACTTTATCGTTGTACTGTATATAAATCATTGCCGACAACTTTATTATTGTATATAAATCATTGCCGACAACTTTATTGTTGTATATAAATCATTGCCGACAACTTTATTGTTGTATATAAATCATTGCCGACAACTTTATTGTTGTATATAAATCATTGCCGACAACTTTATTATTGTATATAAATCATTGCCAACAACTTTATTGTTGTAATAGTTATATTTTGCTTGACATTTATAGCCGATAAAATGAGTTTGTGATGACTTATACAATTCTTCCCTTATGGATGGTGTCGAGTGCAGAAGGTACTTGGTGAGAGGACTACAGGTCTGGTGCCAGGTTTGGTGCTTGTTAGTCGTCTCGTAACTAATACTTTGACCAGTGTTAGTGTGGTGTCATAACTAATATTTTGATCAGTGTTGGTATGATGGTGTCATGACTAATGCTTTGATCAGTGTTGGTGTGATGGTGTCGTGACTAATGTTTTGACGAGTGTAAGTGCGGTAGTAGTCTCTTAGTAATGATTGTGTTTTGTTTCCCTGTTTATATTGAATGAAATTGTCCTTTGTTATTCTGCATTCTTTGTCCTTTTAAATTAAAAACTAATTCTAATAAATTTATATTATATATATTGATGGCTTTAAAATTTTGCTTTTCTCATGAAGTTTACTCTGCTTTCACACTTACCTTGGTGGACCCCCCTTCCCTTGGTGGACCCCCCTTCCCTTGGTGGACCCCCCTTCCCTTGGTGGACCCCCCTTCCCTTGGTGGACCCCCCTCACCTTGGTGGACCCCTGCAGCCGTCTTGCTAAGATTGCTTCATGCTACAATGTCGCATCAGTTGCAGCAGTTCTGTTTGGCCTACAGGAGACCAGAGCCAGAACCTGGTTTCCCTCGCAGAGGCAGAGAGAGCAAAGGGCATTCTGTCATTCTATCGGGAAAACATCCAGAAAATCGGCAAAGCTTTACAGACAGCTGCTGGGTTCACAAGAACCAAAGCCTCAAAACTACCAAATAACTCTCCAAAAACAGTTGAAATGAATCAATATAATTTACTCAAAGCTAGCTCAGACCCGTTAGTATCGATCAGTGTCATAAAGTGGCTCGGAGGTTGTTTCTCTTCCAACTCGCCATTTAGTTCTGTTTCTGATGTGTTGCGTAATGCATCATAGTAGTGCTCCTGTCGCCACCTTTGACAGTGGTTCCCAGTACTTCTGTTCTGAGCTCAGAGTCAGCCATCCTGGAATTTTTCTTGAGGGAGAGCATTTGTTTGTATATCATTCCAGTATGCTGTAGTATTTTCTTCACGCGCAGTTTTCCTATCTAGTTTTGTTGTGTGAACTTGGCTTTCTTGTTGTGTATAGCTTTTGAAGCTATACACCAAGATGGCTCCAATCCTCCAGGTCATATCACTCATAGAGTTCTTTAGGGCTACCAGGGACCAGTGCCAGAACCTGGCCACCTCAGAGGTGAAGGGAGTGGTGATATTTAACCACCTCACCAGAGAAAGTAACCAAAAAATCAGCGAGTCAAAACAAACCACTGCTGGGTTAAAAAAAAAAAAAAAAAAGCCTCAAACCCACCTAATGAACTCCCTTAACTATGTAAACACATGATCAGATTCTCTCGAGACTAGTGAGAGCTCATTTACCCCTACTGACCCACTCGTCTGAAGGGAGGTGGGAGGTGGCTCACTGTCTACCGAGGTCCGAGTTGTCAGTTCTGTCGCTGATGTAGTGGTTCCCACTCGCCTCTTTTTCCATGCGGCTTCCCCTGTTCAGCTTAGTGGTTTGTCTGTTACTGTACTCTGTGGTGTAGCATGAGCCTGGCTTTAAGAGTGCTTGGAGCTGTATGTGCTCCTGGTTATCTTCCCTGTGTGCTCCTTAGTACTGCCCTTGCATCTTGAGGTTATCTTGAGATGATTTCGGGGCTTTAGTGTCCCCGCGGCTCAGTCCTCGACCAGGCCTCCACCCCCAGGAAGCAGCCCGTGACAGCTGACTAACTCCCAGGTACCTATTTACTGCTAGGTAACAGGGGCATCAGGGTGAAAGAAACTCTGCCCATTGTTTCTTGCCGGCGCCCAGGATCGAACCCGGGACCACAGGATCACGCGTGCAGTGCTCTGTCCGCTCAGCCGCCAGCTCCCTTGCATTGCCAGAGTTATCTTCTCAAGAGGGTTGTTCTCTTAGAGGTCCTTGCTTGTGGCAGCCATTATGTAGAGCGAGTCGGAAGTCTTATGGTTTGTGTGTCTTTGACCCGAGTAAGGTGTGACTTTGACTGGCGGGGCACACTGGTGGTTCATAGCCCTCCCTTCAGCATGTTGAGGTCAGCCTTCACAACTTTGTAACTCAGGCTGTGTTGTTTACTTTTAGGACCAGCATATCATCCCCAGTGCCTGGGTGTTCGTCTTGGTTTACCCCGAAGAGCCTGGAAATTTCCCATGGGTTCAGTGGTCCTATGGATATCCCCTCCCAGACCTGCTCTTTCATTGCACGAGTTTAAGTGTTGCTTATCGTCCATGCCATGCAACAATGATCACTTGTTCTGCCCCCGGCATGCTGCCTTTTTTTGGTCAGTGATACCTTCGACCCTGAGTACTGTGGGGTTTGCTCTCCCCAGGTGACACTTCTTTCTAGTCCACCTGATGAATTATTCAGCATTGAATGGAATGAAACTCCTTGGGCCAGATTCACGAAAGCACTTACGCAAACACTTACGAACCTGTACATCTTTTCTCAATCTTTGGCGGCTTTGTTGACAATTATTAAACAGTTAATGAGCTCCGAAGCACCAGGAGGCTGTTTATAACAATAACAACAGTTGATTGGCAAGTTTTCATGCTTGTAAACTGTTTAATAAATGTAACCAAAGCCGTCAAAGATTGAGGAAAGATGTACACGTTCGGAGGTGCTTGCGTAACTGCTTTCGTGAATCTGGCCCCAGGTTCGTAAGTGCTTGCGTAAGTGCTTTAGTGAATCTGGCCCCTTATTCTGGTGGGTCCCAAGTATTGCACAGATGGATCTAGAGTGTGCAGGTTCTCTTTGCATCAAAGAATGAGCCAGATTCTTGTCCTGGCTTCAGGTAGGTGATGAATGGTTCTTGCAGGCCTGATGTGTTACCACATACTGCCACATACCCAGTATGTGGGTATGTGGCATACATACCCTGTACATACCATGGTACCACCAGGCCTAAATCCTGGTGGTACCGAGGTTAATTTTAAGTAGTACAGTACGTGGACACAGATCATGCTTGGAACAACTGCTGTTTTTCTTGTGGTGTAATTAACTGTCACAGCGAAATGGTTAATAAAGTTGATCTATTGGGTTATATTGTACCAGAACATGTAAAAAAATAAAGGCGTTGCTCACTTTTTTTTTGCACTATTGAAATTCATAATGGATATAAGGTGATTTGAGATAGACTTAAAGTTTAGTTAATTATAATTATGACCTGGGTATGTGGCAGTGTGTTACGCCGACCCATGTACTCCATTTTATGTATAGCTATGAATCTCTCACTCATATTATTAGATGAAATTTTACCAGTTTTAAAAGATGGTTTAGGATTCAATATTTTAATAGCCATGCCAAAGACTGTATACCTGACAAAAAACTTAGCTGAAGAAAAAATGTATATGGTGAGGGTAGTGGTGCGGTTGTATAGCCCATGGTGCGCCTAATGGTTATGTTGTATTGGACTATTAATTCCAAATGTTCATGTTTTAGTTATAGAGATTTTATCATTTCGTAAAATCTATTATTTAGCTAAAGAATGGTAATTTATGGATAATTTGATGTGTGTTACAGCTTTTGCTAACAATTAGTGTGTGTTCTTTTCAGTTGTACCTGGAGCTAAACCTTTTCGTAAGTTGCAGTTGTTTTGTGCACCACACATACCACTCCCTTTCAAACTATACATAGTCATGTGTTTTACACAATGTTTGCCACGACGTATTTCACAAGTGACGTGGTTGTGAAGACGAATTCTTTCTTGCCACAATTCTATCAAAGACTGTTGTTTTGAAGCTTGTGTGTTTGTGCATGCATTACCCATTAATGGAGTTGCTTATAGTTTCTGAATGCATGTTATCATATTGTTTTGTTTATCATGTAAACAACTGTAATTTACTCCTTAAAAAGGTTAATATAAGTGTAATATTCAGTATTGTGAATTCTTTTCTAGTTTTCACAAATAATTAATTGGCAATATTTTATTGGTATTTATATAGTTTCTCTAAGAATAGTTCTTCTAGTTCAAGTCATGATTTGGGGGACTTTCTAACCCCTTGCACGTTATCTTATCTTGAGGTTATCTTGATGATTTTGGGGCTTTAGTGTCCCCGCGGCCCGGTCCTCGACCAGGCCTCCGCCCCCAGGAAGCAGCCCGTGACAGCTGACTAACACCCAGGTACCTATTTTAGTGCTAGGTAACAGGGGCATAGGGTGAAAGAAACTCTGCCCAGTGTTTCTCGCCGGCGCCTGGGATCGAACCCAGGACCACAAGTCCAGCGTGCTGTCCGCTTGGCCGACTGGCTTCCCCCAACGTGATGATATACAACCATGTGTTGCATGTACCATACAGCTGTAGAAGTCAATGATGGTTGCCTTATTATTAAGTCAACAATGTTGGTTATAAATGATAAGCTATGTTGATGAATACGAGTACAGTATCAACAAACGAGTCATACTCTGAAGCAAATGTTGTACATCGGGTCAAACTTTGTGATGAAATTGAAGTCGTACACCGAAAACTCCGTACTCTGGGGCATTCATGGACCAAGGTTCCGCTGGCCTGACAAGTCTCTATCCTTCCGGGGTTCAGGAATTGGTTAGGCTTTGTCATAAGATGACAGGTTTACTGTTTTCATGTCCTCCTGTTAGGGCTCAATCTGGCTTCTTGTATTCTTATGCATTTGTCCTGGGTCATAGTGACCTATATTTATCTTTTGGTGTTCTGGTACACCTAGATGACTGGCTGATGTGGACTCTGCCAGTCCGCTTCTCTGTAGGCCAGGGAACTGGTTCTTTCTTAGCTCACAGGGTTAAGATTCCTGATGAACTGGCGGAAGCTCCATTTGGTTCTGTCCCAAGTTCAGAATTTGCAGGGCTTTGTTTTGGGACTCTTAGTCGGCCTCTCTGTCCCTGCCTCTGGCGGCCTTGATTTGGCTGCAGCACTGCCATGTGATGGTGTTAACACTTTAGCTCATCCGTGGCGCCGACACCCACCCACTCCTGACAAACTCCCGACTGGCTGGTTACCTACTGACAAGCTAAAACAAGTTTCCAATGCTCTAACCTCCCCCTCTCCTTCCCTCCTTTTTCCCCTCCATACTTTTCTCACACTCCTAGTCTCTCCCTTTAAGGACCCCTCCCTCCCATCTTCACCCCCATCACCCTCCTTTTCCCTCCAACACCCCTGTAATCTGCCTCAACAACTGCTTTGGCAGCCTCATATACTGTAGTTGAAATATAGACAGGCCAACACTGACTGTGACTGCCTGGCTGTGACTGCCTGGCTGTGACTGCCTGGCTGTGACTGCCTGGCTGTGACTGCCTGGCTGTGACTGCCTGGCTGTGACTGCCTGGCTGTGACTGCCTGGCTGTGACTGCCTGGCTGTGACTGCCTGGCTGTGACTGCCTGGCTGTGACTGCCTGACTGTGACTGCATGACTGTGACTGTATGACTGTGACTGCATGACTGTGACTGCATGACTGACTGCATGACTGTGACTGCATGACTGTGACTGCATGACTGTGACTGCATGACTGTGACTGCATGACTGTGACTGCATGACTGTGACTGCATGACTGTGGACTGCCTGGCTGTAACTGTGATGGACATCGAGTAAGTAGCGCCTAAAACCAAGGCTGGGCCAGGCACCAAGGGGCCGTATGGACTACGTTCTCGTAGTAAGACTCCAAAAGAGCTAGAGCCCGAAACAACAAGGGCACCGGGGTAAAGAGGTACTGTATAGGTAACCTCATCTCGACCAGTCCTGCTGAAAGGCATCCGCCACGACGGTTCCACAGTCAGGGAAAGGTGCCACATAAATCGGGAGACACCGAGACAACACTAATGCGAACCGAGGTATGACTAGCCAACGCGGGGGTCCGGGTCTTTCCCCTCCCAAGGAGGGGAGGGCTGCTCGGACAAGTGGCGCGGCGGCGATCAATGACCTTTGCTTGTTTGCTTGGTTTCCTTTTGTTTATGGGGGAGTTCTGTCTCTGTGTGGTCTTTGGTTGCAATTTCTTACCAGGTGGGACTTTTGTTATGCTATCTGGGTGCCTAACCTCGGTCGATGGCAGACATGGAATGTCCTCAAGCACATGGGTTTTTTCCATAGGCCATTGCTCCCTGTGCCTCTCTGAGGGGGCCAGGTTCTGGCTCGTGGTCCCAGGTAGGCAGAACTCCAGGGAGTTCTATCTGCTCCCGATATCTGCCTACAGTCCGATATCTTCAGGGAGCCTCCGGGGGCTCACCCAGAAGAATGGCATTTCATTACATTCAACGCTGGGGAGTTTTTTGCCCAAAAGTCAAGTGCACTAAAAGATGTCATCAATGCTTGCAATTTTTTTTTTCTACAACGTACTGATGAAGAGGATAGACATTGCATGAAATCCTCCTTGGCAATGTCGTTTGCAGCAGCATCCATCGTACAAAAGTTCTTGACATGAAGACCCTTCTCTATTATGTGTCATTGTTGGCAATTGTCGAGGTGGTAAGTTTTCATGACTGTTAATAGAAAGTCCATGTGCAAAACTTTCGTAGCTGTTGAACCTTTTCGAGACTCCATTACACATATAACCAGTCATAACATACAAAGAAAAATATATTTATATAAAATAAAAATATAATAGAACTTAATTTTATATATAATTTAAATTTACAACTGTCATAAATAAACTAAAATAATACTAAAGAAATGATTCAAAGGCAAAATATAGGAATCCTCCCCCTTTGATCACCTCAAATGCCCAACAAAATGGTTTTTCTGTGGAGAGCCCCTTCGGCTCCCAGGAGCTATACCGGGCTGATGTGTATATATTAGACCGTGGCAACAGTCAATCGAAGGAGTTCTAAGCGTACTGGGGACCAGAGCCAGAACCTGGGCCCCCCTCAAGAGAGGCACAAGGAACAATGGCCTAAAGACACCCCTGTGTAATTGGAAGCAGTCTTTGTCTGCCATCTACCAGGTCAGGCACCCAGAAAGGTAGGAATCTCAAAACAAACTACTGCTGATCAAAAATTGCAAACTGAAAGCTGAACTAGCAAACAGAACTCCGATTAAAAACAAGGAAACAAACATGACGTCACCACAATCGCCGCGCATCCGTCTCACACCACCACCACCATGCAGCTTGTTCCTACATTATCGCTTAATGAGGAAACAAATAAGTACAGTATCAGCAATTATTTACCATTGTGACATAGAAGACCCCTGACGTAGAAAAAGATTACGTAGAAAGTTCAGATATCCGTGAACTCGTTCCTGCCGATGATGATCCCAAAGCAAGACAGAGCCACAGCATACAGCCGCATTTATTGCCTCTGCACATCACACAACGGACCTCATAATCCTTTAGAAAATGAGCATGTGAAAAATTATTCATATTCGGGATTTAGTGACCAGGGGCCAGATTCACGAAAGCACTTACGCAAGCACTTAAGAACGTGTACATCTTTCCTCAATCTTTGAAGGCTTTGGTTACATTTATTAAACAGTTTACAAGCATGAAAACTTCCCATTCAACTGTTGTTATTGTTATAAACAGCCTCCTGGTGCTTCAGAGCTCATTAACTGTTTAATAATTGGAAACAAAGCCGCGAAAGATTGAGAAAAGATGTACAGGTTCGTAAGTGTTTGCGTAAGTGCTTTCGTGAATCTGGCCCCAGGATTCTGATAAAATAAATATTTAGGCTTGAGTTAGCGATGTGTGTAGTGTATCAAGTGGCACTTTGCATTATCAGGTGCTGTCGGCAGTAGGCAAGTGTGTGTATGACTATGCCGCTAAAGAATCAATAGTTACAAGATTGGCACACTCGCCAAAACTTACTCGCGGTCACCTGTCCCTCAATAGAATTCTTGGTGACTCGGATACTTTTGATATCGTTCGCCTTATGCGTTTTTTTTCTCGTATTGGCATCCTTGGTGATATTTAGCGCCCTCTGATTATTCTGCTCATTTGATGGTGCTACATAGCCTTCCCGGTTTGGTGCCTTCTTTTGATAATTACTTACTTACTTACTCGCCAAAACTTAGAGGCTTGCAATGGTGCAAAAACATATAGATACAGTAGTTGTAAGTTATGCGTGAATACAGTGTTATAATAAAAACAATATTTTATTGTTCTATTACTGTATTATATCGAGGTACACATATTAGTTACACTTCTACACTTTCTTTGATATACAGTATACTGTATAACATTATTAACAAGCCAATGCATCTTTGCACTTGAGAAAAATACAACACTGTAAAAGCAATAAAAATACGAAGAAAGTAAAATTCCGTATTTTTGTTTTCCTACCAGCCAACTCGGTGACGGCGGGTCAGCTCCTGTGCAGCGGACTCTTCTCTCCGGACCCAGTGTCTAACTGGTTTGCCGCAGTAGCTCTCAGTCACTCTCTAGTTGATAATGGTACACAAAAGGTAAGTAAAAGCAGAATTATAATGTCAAATATTTATGCATTATATGCAAAATAATCTCAAGTTTCATATGAAAATTGAGATGTAATTGAAATGTTCATTTTTTTATATTGTAATACCGTTTAAAAGTGTCAAAAATCTCATGTTAGAAAAACCCAAAACTTCCTAAATCTGAAACGTTTGGAAAATCCAGCATTGAATGTATTGAAACACAAATTTCTGGATGAGCCCCGGAAGCCAGAACCTGGCCCTCCCCAGAGAGGCGCAGGGAGATAATGATAGTCCGTCACCTCAATGAGGAAAGCATCCAGAAAGTCAGCAAACCAAAAAGACAACTGCTGGATTCAAGAGAGACCCATGCTTCACAATCATCCTAATGAGCACCCCCAATTATGTAAATAAACATTGGAATCTCTCAAAACTAGCGTGTGCTCATTCACCCCATCTTTCCCTTCTCATTTTTTGCTCAACCACTTGGGCTGGACTGTAGAGCGACGGTCTCGCTTCATGCAGGTCGGCATTCAATCCCCAACCGTGCAAGTGGTTGAGCACCACTCCTTCCCTCCCCCGTCCCATCCCAAAATCCTTACCCTGACCCGTTCCCAGTGCTATATAGTCGTAATGACTTGGCGCTTTCCCCGATAGTTCTTCTTTCCCTTCTCATTTGGGGGAAGGGGTCCACACTCTGCAAGGGGCTCTAGCTCTCAGTTCTGGAGCAGATGCACACACAAATTCCCTCCCGACAACCTGGAAGGGAGGGAGGGATTTGGGGAGCCACAGGGGCTTACCCAGAAATTGGCATTTCATTACATTCAATGCTGGTTTTCTGGGGGAAGCCCCATTGTGGCTTACTGAAGCTAACTACCCAAAGAGATGAAGAAAATACAAGACCTTAATAGGGAGGAGGAAAAAATACAGGCAGCCAAGACGAAGACGAGAATTGAAGCCGAGAGACCCAACTCAAGGCCACCCTAGGAAGCTAAGGCCTGGGAACATCAACTAAATACCAGGCTGCCAGAACCTTGTGCTTGAATATCAACCCAGGTCATATAAGCAAACACAGCCACCAGAGGGGCATGCTTCCTAACATCATGGGCATGAGGTTAGACAGCAGCGTGGCTAGACTTAATAACACTGCAGATGACCTGAGATATACAAGCCTTGGAACAGGGAATCAAGGACATAGGAGCCATCCACAGAGCATTCACCGAGGCCAAATCGGTGGCATGAAACTAATGACGGAGAACCACCAATGGATGCAGCACGTGATGCACCCCCGGCTGAACCAACCAAGCATCAATAACCAAAGGACCCCCTCTGAATTCCAGCCGACTGGCTCTGCCAGAAATGAAGGAGCTGACTGCAAATGACCAAAACCCCACCCTGGTTCAAAAGAACAAAAACCCTGTCTGTGGAAGACACAGTAACATGAAACTCCCCGACCCGACAACTGGAGGCAAGAGCCACTAAAAAGAGAGCGGTAGAAAAGGAATTCTGGACCAAAGAAGACACTAAACTATAAAATCCCAATCTCTCAAGGATGGGAAGTCCTAGCCACTGCCCCCTCAAGAATGGGGGGGTCATGATCACCCCTTCAGAAGTTGGGAGTTGTGGCCAATCTGCTTGGAGATTGGAGGGTCGTAGCCAGACCCTTTGAACATGGGGATTTGCGGCCAACTCCCATTCAAAATGGGGATTTGTGGCCAAAGTCACCCCCACCCCGCCTACAAGATGGGGACTCGCAGCCAACTTCACCCACAATTTTTAAGGTGGTGAGTTGCGGGCAAGATCCCGCCAGGGTTAGGGAGTTGCGGCCAAGACCCTGCCAGGGGTGGGGAGACGCAGCCAAGACCCTGCCAGGGGTGGGGAGTCACGGTGTTATTGAATATGTTTTGCCATCTTAACCAACAAAACTCTTCCATCATACTTGGAAAAGTGCCTCATCAAGGAGTGGCAGTAAATGGGTCAAGGATGGTAGTACAGTACAGTACTGTATATCCAATTGGTAATTTAATGTTAATGTATATTTTCTCTGTGATATTGTATCCTCGTGTAATCGTGATGTATTCCCTGACATGGCCGATAGTTTGTACATCATCACAGTTTGTTTCTCCAGTTGTGCAGTTAAAGTTGTTATATTTAGTATTGCACTGTAAAGTTGTCATATTAAAAATTGTACTATAAAGTAGGCATATTCAGTATTGTGTTGCAACAGTACAATATTTACAATATTGTAAACAAAATTTACAATAACATGTTGCAAATTTTATTTTCAGGAAAATATGTTGCGAGTGCAGCTAGCCACCAGTGTGGGGAGTCCACCCGTGTCACTCATGCAACAGTGCACGTCCATCCTACAAGCCGGGTCGAAGGTTATCACACGTTTCGGCATTCTTATGCTTCTTTCCACATGGCTGGCTCACTGCCCCGTCGCTGTGCAGACTTTCCTGGCCATACCAACTGCAGTTCCATATCTTACTACTCATGTAAGTTATCCAGGTTGTATACAGTTTACATAACTTTATGTGTAATGTTGCTACAATCTCAAAATAATGATGTTTTCAACTTCTTTCTCTCTCTCACTTGATGAAACTACGAGCCTGTTTGCCCCGGTGCACACTAGTGACTGTACACTATATATTCTAATGGAAATTGCAGAAGACATAATGTATAAAGTTCATGTATAATGTATAAAGTTAATGAAGTTGCTGCATTTTAATCAGCTTTATGTATGCAGCAAACTTTATACAATAAATTAATCCCAGCTTTGAAAATCATTTGTTAACCAACATGTCTCACTGCAAGGAAAGCAGGAAATCTGAAAAGTTGCAAATATAGTCCTGTTATTCAAGACAAAGGACACTAAATTATTGATCAAAATCATTGTTTTAATGTGGAGACCAGACCACACACTAGAAGGTGAAGGGACGACATTGTTTCAGTCCGTCCTGGACCATTCTCAAGTCAATTCTCACAATCGACTTGAGAATGGTCCAGGACGGACCGAAACGTCGTCGTCCCTTCACCTTCTAGTGTGTGGTCTGGTCAACATACTTCAGCCACGTTATCTGCATTGTTTTAATGTATCTGGTGAAAGTTCCTGAAAATTAATCAGGAAAAGTATGGTGGAGATCTCAAAGAGGAATAGGTTTATTATGAATAGGCAACATGTTTTCAAAAGGAAAAAGTTGGGCCTCTCAAACTTGATTGCTCTATGACGCAATCAATCTTCAAGGGAAGAGTCGACCTTCCTGGCTTTGTTGCTGTTGACTCTTCCCTTTCACAGTACATACTTAAATGCTCTAACCTTCTCAACAAACATGACCTGACCTAAGCTTACAGCCTTCTTATCCTCCTATTCTTACCTTTCACCTTATTCTTGCCTTCTAGACATTACCATATTCTCTAACCGGTTCTTCACCTTACACCTTACCTTCTTCTTTTACCAGCTCCTAACTCCTTAACTTGAAGATTGTAGTTGTTATTTAGATAGTAAAGGTGGTGGTAGATGATGATAGTGTTGAGTTGACTGAAGTGGAGATTAATGATGATGAGGTAATCTCAGCAGACTGCCTTTCACCACATACACCAATGTACCTAATGCCATGGCCGAGTTTTATGCTTCTGAGCCATCCATTAGTGTATGAACATTGCTCAAGTGGTGCTGTGTACGGCCACTGGGCAAACTAATTCCATCTTTACTGCACATTTGTATTCAGACTGCTGCTTGCCCTCACCAGTTATTTGAACGTTTTTATCCGAACAAACCCCAATCGAATATCGGGTATTTTCAGATAACAGGTATTCATAAAGCACGTGGCTGACTGTATTTGTTCAACTGCTGTGAGGTATCCCTGCCAGCTTGCTTGCCAGGGTGAATTGAAGCAGGCTATGTTTAAGACACATTCCATAGCCCCTTCCTCCATGGAGATGAACAGTGTGTGTGTGTCCTGAAGAGGGCTGTTCAGACACCCAGGGGGGCTGCCGAGCTCTGCTGCTGCTTTCCAAAAGAGAGTGACCCTATGCCCTAAGCCTCCTGTGTGCAGGTCTGTGACTACAAGTTCCAGTGTATCCACTCTTGCTGCTTTGTAACTTGGCCATTGCCACGGGACTTGGGGTTGTGCAGTATGAGTTGAGGTCATGACTTGCACTTGATTTGGATTAAAGTGAGGGAAAGTTGCAACCTCTCTCACCCTGGCCCAACTGGATCCAGCGGCAAGACAAGTCGAGACGGCTGGTGATAGGTTAGGATGCAGTGGATGGCCACTGCATCCTAACTGCTGTATCCTACGTGTCTCATTTTACCCTAGCTGTGCTCCACATTACTTTGCTGGGTCCACCTTCCTACCCAATGAACCATTCTGGTGTTTTCCTCCACTCAGTCCACCTGGTTCAGTCTTCGCTTGCGTAGGTAAATATGCTCTAGCTCACTGAGGGGTCTCAGACTGTCTACTACCCTCACCTGGTTTTGCTTGCCAGTCAAAGCGGTTAGCCAGGGTGTGGCTGCTGTTCCATGCAAACTGCTACTAGGAGCCACAGGTGAGAGTTGAGTGCAGGTGGGGACCAAAGCAGATGAACCACCAGAAGGTGCAACTGTTTCCCGTCAAGAGGTACTATCCCTCCCTAACATCTCAGACCCCTTTTAAACCACATTTCTCAGACATCTCTGATATCTAACATCTCGACCCCTTTTAACACAATCTCCATCGGTATCGAGTCTCGGCATCACCTTTCACAAGTGTTAAATGTTGTGTGCACTAGTCATAACCTGAATGTGTACAGCATGCATATTTTTATATATTAACTATAGTATGTCCACCAGCTTTAATTACTTCACATTAAGGTGTGTCCGCTTCTCTTAAACACTGTAACGACCCAACCTGTCGGTTCGTTCCTCACCGTAAACGTTTCACGTACTGAATATCAAGGTCCCGCTCAGGACACCTAAAATGCTTCACTCTCGAAGTTTTCTCAGTTAGTTTTTGGTTATTACAGTGTACTGTCACAGTGTTTGCAAATGAATTTGTTTGACTCTAGATAGAAAATAAAATGTGGTTTGATAATAGAATTTGAGTGACTGATGAATATACAAATTTTGTATTAACATTTCAGCATTCCTTGTACAGTATTTTTCTCCACATATCTCTTTAGTACAGTACACACATTATCAGTCTATGGTACTGTACTCGCGTCATTGGAATGCTAAAGTGATAACTTAAACCTGAAAGTCACTGCAAATTCTGAGTGTACAGGTATTTATCAAGTACAGTATCACACTTTGTTCGCTTTAATGCCTGAAATGCCACGTGTCAGTGGCTTTGTGATGATGTAATGCTACACATAAAAAATGTTAAACAACATTATCTTGTCAATATTTTATTTAATAATATTTAATAAATATACAACATATCAGTTTTATCTGGTAACTCCTCCATTAAAATCATGTCTATGGTTGTTTTCCCTAGGACATTCGTACACTTTGGGAGGCATAGTGGGAAGTGTGGCCCTTTGAGAGCTGTCCTCATATATTTAGAGTAGACTCTCAACGGCATACCTGCAATTGTCTTATTATGGTTCGACAAGTATGATGTAACTCGCATTAGTCTTGGTCAGGTATCAAAACGTAACTCACGTTAATCTTGGTCAGGTATCAAAACGCAACTCACATTAGTCTTGATCAGGTGTCATAACGTAACTCACGTCAGTCTTGGTCAGGTATCAAAATGTAACTCACAGTAGTCTTGTTCAGGTATCAAAACGTAACTCACGATAGTCTTGGTCAGGTATCAAAATGTAACTACATACGACGGGACTGATCTCGCCGAGACCTTTGAAATACAGTACTGAACAAGTTGGCGGATATTAATCCTGGATTGTACCAGGATGAGGCTCTGGGAGAGGTTCTACTCCCCCAAGCCCGGCCTGAGGCCAAGCTTGAATCTCGAGAGCTTGGTCCAACAGGCTGTTGCTTGGAGCGGCCCATAGGCTCACATATCCATCACATCCTGGTTGGTGTGGCACATCTGTCAGAACTAAGAACATAAGAACATAAGAACAAAGGCAACTGCAGAAGGCCTATTGGCCCATACGAGGCAGCTCCTATTTATAACCACCCAATCCCACTCATACACCCGTCCAACCCGCGCCCGAAACAATCGAGGGACCCCACCTCCAGCACGTTACGCGGCAACTGGTTCCACAAACCAACAACCCTGCCACCGAACCAGCATCCACCCAAGTCCAACTATTTCTTCAAAAGGTTGAGTGTTATTCATGCAAGTAGTGACCACTTCAGGCTCAACAATCCACAGTGAAGTTTCCCGTCAAAGAGATACCTTTACACTTAAAGCATTATAAATCCATTGAATTGCTTACCTTCAAAAAGCTGTAAGTCAAGATATTAATCCAATTAGAAATTCTGTTAGAAAATATTTTCAGGAATTATGAGGGGATTCAACAAGCTGCCAGCTTCTGTCGTGTCAATGCCACGTGACGTGGTAGCCGTCGGGGAAATTCTTGCAAGTTTGTTACTAGGCAATATGAATTACTTGATACGTCATAGACAGTTTGAATCTAAAAGTGATATGGGGAATGATGCATTGGATTTGACTTATTTTTACAGGTGAGCGCTAATGAACACGATGAACTCGAAGTGGTTTGTCAGGGCCTGTGCGCGTTCCTGCTTGGCTTGTGTGTCCAGTTTAATGATGGCAGTGGAAGCAACTTTTCAAGAGAGTCTCTCAAACAACTTGTGAGTGATCGTATTGGGGCAGAAAACTTTGGTGATAAGTTAAGTAACATCTCAAGAACAGAAGTGTACTCCAAGGCAGCAAAATCACCTCAGTTGGCGGCCAAGCAACCCTCAGACCTAGTATTTGATCACGAGTTCTGCCGGCTTTTCAAGAGTTTAGAAGGTATCGAATTTTGTGTGTTCTTCACTTACCGTGAAAAATCTGTTCGTGCTGCATAGTTTGGCCTTCTCAATATATATAAATATTTTTGTTTATTGTAATTAACTATGTTATTAAAGACAAATTTCCCCAAAAAGAGAACTATTATCTTTTATGTACTTAGCTGGCTGCACTATTTCTCTAAAATGTATCATTCACTGTTGTGAAATATGTATCCCACATATCAATTAACTGCCTTTCAAGTAAATTGAATAATCGACTTTTGGTATATCTCAATTACTTTACAACCATTTGTGTCACATTTGAACATCACTTAACTGTATTGACTGTTTACCTGCTTTGTGATTTGTTTGAATAGCATTGTCCATTTGGCAAGTCTATCTAAAAAGTTGTACGGTGAAGCTTACAGCTGTTCTTGGGTACATTACAAGAGGCCTAGTTTTACCAGTTAGCAGTCAAGAGCTGCAATATAAGTGCTTCTCATTTTAATTCCCCTTGCCTTCTTAGATTTAAATAATCAAGTGTTGAATGTAATGAAATGGTTCTTTCTGGGTGAGCCACAGCGGCTCCCTGTAGCTAGCTAGCTTGCCAAGATGGCTCAAAACTACTAGGTCACATCAGCAGTGGAGTTGTGCTTGGCATGCTGGGGACCAGAACCAGACACTACCCCCCCCACTCCCCTTCCCTCAGGTGCAGAGAACAGGTGACCCGCTGGAAGAACATCCAGTAAGTCAGCAAACTAATACAAACCACTGCTGGGATTGAAAGCACTGAAACCTTGGAACTACCAAATGAGCTCCCCAAACAATGTAAACAAAACTATCAAATCTCAAAACTTGCATGAGCTCATTAGTACAAACCCCCGGCCAGTAAGGGAAAAGCAGAGCTTCAGGTCTTCCACAGCCTTCCAAGCTAGTTCTGGAGCATATGTGAAGATCACAAACACCAGCCAAGGACCCTGGAAGGAAGGGAGGGAGGGAGGGAGGGCGGGAAGGAATCGAGGAGCCAATGGGGCTCTTCCAGAAAGAGGCGTTTCATTACATTAAATCAGGTTTTCTGGGAGCCCCATGTTTGCAAAAAAGAATGCAAACAGGTACTGATTGAGTGGGTCAAGAGAGAAACCTCCCAAAAACACCTGAAAAAATGCTTGAAAACTCGCACCACTTGAGCATGCAGAAAGGACAGAAGCTGCATCAAAATCTTGATGAAAAGAGTGTTGTCCACTAGCCAGAAAGACTCTGGAACCTCATAGCTCAGTCAGTATGATAAAGAAGAATCAAACTTGAAAGAGGCAGTGGTTCATCAAAGGTGCAAAATCCGGGTCATGCAGGGGGGGTACTTAAAGAGATCTGCCCGAGTGCAGACAATGAGTCACAGTAACGTGGCTGAAGATATGATGACCAAACTACACATAGGAAAATAAAGAAACGACGACATTTAGGAACGTCCTGGATGGTTATCAGGTCCAGGATGGACCGAAATGTAGTGTTTCTTCATCTTTTGATGTGTGGTTTGGTTGTCAGATTTGCCCAAGCCTCCAAAAGGGAAACCTGAGCAGAAAAGAAACCTCTGGAAGAACATATCTGAAAGACCATAAAGTTTGTAGAAATAAATCCTGTGGGAATCTGCATAAAAACCAAAATCATACAAGGAGGGAAGGGGAGGAACAGTATTCCTTCCACTGAATCAAAAGAACTGTGTCAGAAGGAATGAAGGATCAACTGGAGACGAAAGGAATCTTAGGACCCTTATTGGACTCCCCTAATCCCTGGAAGCCGGAAGCAAAGACTCCGGGGCAGAGTAGTCCTTAGAGTAGACCTCAAGAGTCCAGAGGAGAGGTCTCGGAAAGGAGGCCGGCTGGAACGAAGAAAACCCCTGAAACTTTGGTGGGACCTAGTGGCTCGACTGCCTCTGCATCTGAAACTGACAGAGCACCCAAAGAGAAGGCAAGCCACTTTCCGAGCTAAATCCCACCCTGAATCTGAAAACCTTGGATGTTTCAGAGCCAGAAGCAAAGGGTAGGGAAGGAACCGTAGTTGGGCACACCACACCCGAAAAGGAAGGAAGAGGAGGCGCAGAAGGATCCAAGGTGGAATTCATCAACATCTCCAATTCCAGGTCCATAAAAACAAGAAGTGCCTACTTTGGGAATCCAACAGGGCACAAAGTCACGAGTGCTGAAGGCAAGTAAACTGATCCCAGAAGATGGGAACTGCCTAATAAACTTGAACTTCGCTTGGAAGGTCTGAGAGAAGAGCCACAGAGGGGAGAACAGACCCCACAGAACACAGAACTCGTGGTCACAGGTGTCACCGACCCAAGAGGCAGTGTGGCACATTGCTCAAAGAGTAAATTATAAAACCATGAGTTAAATAAAGGTACAGTATAGTATTGGGTAAGGCTAAAGTAAAATGTGTTACTTGTCATGATTCCGAAGAGCAATGTCCCTGTGGCCCATTCTCTGATCAGGCATCCTGGTTGGTGCTCCAGTCAGTAAGACTGTTGGATGCAGCTGTTTACAATCTGACATGATTCACAGCCTGGTTGATCGGGTATCCTTTAGAGGTGTTTATCGAATTCTCTTTGGAACGCCGATTTAAAAACCGTTGTTTGCATTGTGAGGGTTACTATTTTTTTCTAAGCAATTGCTTGTTTGCTTTCTTGAAGGGTTTTCTTGGTACTGTATGGATGTGATTCCCAGGCTTCCCTTTGCCTCTGAGGGTGTCCAGATTCTGGTCCCGGTCCCAGGATACATTCACGAGTCCTGGTGTGTTCCTCGTGGCTTGGGTGCTTCTAGGTAGTGGCATCAGGCAGCTGCTGAGTGGCCAACCAGAGAAAGGCATTTCATTACATTCAATGTTTGATTATGTTGACACACTGATTAATGTTTGAATATGTTGATTCACTGATTAATGTTTGATTACACATATTGCCATAGAGCAAGGGTGGGGGTAAAGAAAATGCTACAGTACAAATTTAACTTCGTCATGTTGCTAACGACAAATATTTCAGTATCGTGTGTACGAGCAGTTACTCCCCAGCTGATGAGTAGCAGCAGTGCCGAAGTGTGTCCAGCAGAAGTCATTAAGTACAAAGAAATTATACGTGACCAGGATGCCGAGATCACTCGGGTACGGGAGTCTTTGACTAAATTACAAAAAGAGATGGAGGCATTTAGAAGTGAAAAGGAACAGATGTCATCTAAAGTTCAACAGCTGCTTGATGAAAACACGGGTTTGTGTACAAAGCATATTTATAGTTTGCTATTCATCGTTATTCATAAAAATACATTTAAATAAAATAGGTGTGTGTTATTGTAGCAGATGTTTCTATATGTGGTGGTAATTGCCTAAGTTTAGTTATAGGATGAGAGCTATGTTTGTGGTGTCCCATCTTCCCAGTACTCTTTGTCATATGAAACTTTGAAACCACCGGCGGCATCCACCACTTTCTCACTTAACATGTTCCAATCATCTACCACTCTGTAAATGAGCCAGAACAAACCCTAATCCTGACTCGGGGGTGGAGATTGACCATCGCTCCACCCACAAAGTTCAGAGAAATACGCACACTATTCAAAGCACGAGTGTTATTATTATTACACCAATTATACTGTGATGAGCAGTAACCAAGAATAGGAGCAGGTGAATCGGTTAGCAAGCCCCATCTGATGATCATGGGTACCTTTACCTTGCGGTTACCTTGCTATGATTTCAGGGGTCAACGTCCCCGCATCCCGGTCCTCGACCAGGCCTCTTCATTGCTAGACTGGTCAACCAGGCTGTTGGACGCAGCTGCTCGCAGCCTGATGTATGAATCACAGCCTGGTTGATCAGGTATACGGTGATGGCACTGGCCATCACTGTAACGACAGCAACATCACAAGAACAGATGCCTCCCACTACCCACATTTCATCGGATTAGCTCTTTCTCTAATATTCTTTAATATTTATACATTTACCTTTCCCATACACTCAAGCTGGGAAATAGTTGGTAGTGCTTGTGGCAGTGTGGCAGGTATTAAAATGTCAACAGTAGATATTAATATTGGAGAGCCAGTCGGCCGAGCGGACAGCACGCTGGACTTGTGATCCTGTGGTCCTGGGTTTGATCCCAGGCGCCAGCGAGAAACAATGGGCAGAGTTTCTTTCACCCTATGCCCCTGTTACCTAGCAGTAAAATAGGTACCTGGGTGTTAGTCAGCTGTCACAGGCTGCTTCCTGGGGGTGGAGGCCTGGTCGAGGACCGGACCGCGGGGACACTAAAAAGCCCCGAAATCATCTCAAGATAAACTCAAGAGAAATTAATGCGATATGGACCAAGGGCAGAATAACTAATTAGCATTTCTATTTTTTCTCTTAACAGTGTTGAAAGCCCAGCAAGGTATTGCAGTAGAGGCTGCATCTTCAGCTGTAGAGGATAGTACATGTAAAGTCAATCAAGAAAACAGTGGTGAGAGCCGAGAGGAGTCGGCACAGCAAGTAGCACATCTCCAACAGCAGCTAGCAGAGATAACACATGCAAGGGATTACTATTATTATGAAATGTTCAAAAAAGATGCCGAGCTGACAGCACTGGTTAGTACAGTACGTACATACGTTATTCAGACGGGTGATATAAAGTGAATGATTGTTATGGAATGTTAATGTTTCATAACGGTTATTATGTTAGATTAACATAGTGTTTTGATTAACATAATGTTGGCTGTGTGCCTGGCCCTCTCTTGGCTGTGTGCCCGGCCCTCTCTTGGCTGTGTGCCCGGCCCTCTCTTGGCTGTGTGCCCGGCCCTCTCTTGGCTGTGTGCCCCGGCCCTCTCCTGGCTGTGTGCCCGGCCCTCTCCTGGCTGTGTGCCCGGCCCTCTCCTGGCTGTGTGCCCGGCCCTCTCCTGGCTGTGTGCCCGGCCCTCTCCTGGGTGTGTGCCCGGCCCTCTCCTGGGTGTGTGCCCGGCCCTCTCCTGGCTGTGTGTTAGGTAATTCATCATAAATGTGAAAAGGAACTCTATCTTTCATTTTTGTATAATGCCTAATTAGCTTGCATTTACTACAACACACATTTGATACTTCAACACTTGAGAACTGATAATATGATCTTGATTATTAGCAGCAGCAGCTGCAGCAGCAGGAACAGCAACAACAATATGAACAGCAGCAGCAGCAGCAGGAACAATTGACTCAACAAGCAACAGCTGCGAATGGTACACAGGTAATAAACCCTCAAAATCTTATTTATTTATTCTTTTAGGTGGGGCGGAGATTGTGCTTGTGGAGGTTCATATGGAAGACAACCCCACAAGCAGTCAAATGGTATAGATCATTGTGCTCCGTGAAGGTAATTAAAATCGTGGGTTGAGGCTATCCCGGGGCTGCCTTGAAATGGTTCATGGGGTTCAATGTCCGCACAGCCCAGTCTTTGATCAGGTCTTGAAGCCGCCTTGAAATGGTTCCTGGGGATTGATGTCCGGACAGCCCAGTCTTTGACCAGGTCTTGAGGCTGCCTTGAAATGGTTCTTGGGGATCACTGTCCGGACAGCCCAGTCTTTGATCAGGTCTTGAAGCCGCCTTGAAATGGTTCCTGGGGATTGATGTCCGGACAGCCCAGTCTTTGACCAGGACTTGAGGCTGCCTTGAAATGGTTCTTGGGGATCACTGTCCGGACAGCCCAGTCTTTGACCAGGTCTTGAAGCCGCCTTGAAATGGTTCCTGGGGATTGATGTCCGGACAGCCCAGTCTTTGACCAGGTCTTGAGGCTGGTGGTCTGGTCATCCAGGCTGTCGGGTGCTGATGCTCAGTCAGACGTATGAATCACAGCTCGGTTGATCAGGTATCCTTCGGAGGTGTTTGTCAAGTTCTCTTTTTAAACACCTTGAGGGCTGGCTCACTCTTCCTTTCTGGAGTGGTGCAATCTTTGCTGTTTTAAGTGTGTTGGGATAACAAGTATCTGGACTATTTCTCCAAATGATATTAGAAAACAAAAACCTTATTATTTTTCTAATGTAGAAACCTCTGGATGCATTGGTTAAACAGTTTACAAAACAGATTCTAAAAATAGATTGTCTACAAATTCGAGACAATCCTGTGATGGATAGTATCTTCCTTGAAGACATATCCATAATTGTTTGCTGGGTAGATAACATACAGTAACATTGTAACAGGGAATCAAACAGGAATAATCAAATACGTCAGATCTCCTTAGACATTGCCAAATAATTTGCTTAGCCAGCAGATAAGAGCCAACTAGTAACAAATACAGTACAGTTACCTCGGTTTAAGAGTTTAATCCATTCCTGGAGACAGCTCGTATTCTGAAGCTAATTTCCCCCATAAGAAATACTGGGAAATGAATTAATCTGTTCGTGACTACCCCAAAAACCTCATTCAAACTAAATTTTATACCTAATTCATCTAAATAAACCTACATAACTATGTTCAAGTTATTACTTACACTTGTTGAATGCTGTAGGTGTATGGAAGATGGTGAGGAGAGGTGTTACAGTTTGGAAGGGGAGTCCCCTTCCATTATCACATCAGGCAGTGAGGACCTTTCTGGTGTGCACTCCCTGGCATGTTTTGCCTGCATACCACTAGGTCCTGGTTGTGGCTCACTGCTCGATTTTCTCACAACAAATCTGTCCATGGAAGCTTGTTTTTCCCTTCTTCGCAAGCTGTCTCTATAGTGAGGCATCACATTGTCATTGAAAAGATTAAGGCAACGGCCTACTACAGCTTTCTCTGGGTGAGTCGTTTCAATAAAAGTCTGCGTCTCTTCCCACATCTGACACACCTTAATTTCTGCAGACGGGACATTCGCTACTGCCTCATCCTCCTCCACTGGAGAAACATCCTCAGCTGGGTCTTCTTGCTGTTCCTTTTGAAGGGCTTGGAGTTCTTCGGTGGTCAGTCCTTCGTTGTGTTCTTCCATCAACTCCACATCATCATCATCCAATTCCAAGCCCATTTGCTGGCCCAGAGTAACAATTTCCTCAACAATAGGTGCATCATTTACAGGCTCAAACCCCTCAAAGTCTAGTTCTGTCACACATTCAGGCCACAATTTTCTCCAGCCAGAAATCAGGGTTCTCTTAGTCACGTCTTGCCAGGCTTTGTCAGCGAGTTTTAAAATACAAATCACAATTTCATGTCTTTCTTTGCACACGATACCAAAATCAAAATTAATGTTGCCACAGCAGGAGACATTGATAAACTACAACAGATATCAATAAACTTCTAATGTTTAACAGGATACGTGATATTCAACATTGATAAATTCCAGCTCCTGAGATATGAAAAGAACGAGGAACTTTACCCAATCACAGGATATAAGACATAGCCCTTTATAGAATGGAAATGACATGTAAAGGAGCTAAGAATACTAATGTCAGACAATCTAATATTTATTGAACTTAACAAAGCAAGTGTAGCATCATTTTGGGGGAGACTGTCGGCCGAGTGGACAGCACACTGGACTTGTGATCCTGTGGTCTCGGGTTCGATTCTGGGCGCCGGCGAGAAACAATGGGCAGAGTTTCTTTCACCCTATGCCCCTGTTACCTAGCAGTAAAATAGGTACCTGGGTGTTAGTCAGCTGTCACGGGCTGCTTCCTGAGGGTGGAGGCCTGGTCGAGGACCGGGCCGCGGGGACACTAAAGCCCCGAAATCATCTCAAGATCTCAAGAAGATCATCCAAGATTTTTTTGTTACAGGGTTCCTGAACTACATATTCAACATAGAAGCTCGCCACTTAATCATTGGGATGTGGTTTGGTAGTTTCTGAGAGCTTGGAAGGTATATTTTATCAAAGATTTGAGACGATATTGTTTACATAATAATTTTTACTCACTTTAGTATATCAATTCTTTGGAATGCATTTGACTGGAAGTTAAATTTAGTTATATAGTGTAATGTATTAGAATTTGAAATTGATATTAATCACACATTTGGTTTCAGCTTAACAATCATCTCAACTCTCAAAATGCAGCAAGTTTCTTTGACTCGCTCCCTAACCCGGAAATGGAGAATTTGCGCAAACAGTTAGAAGATCTGCAGCTGGTTCTTTATAACAAAGACTCCGAGATACAGCAACTGAAAGACACACAAACTGAGACATCATCAACAACAGCAACAGCAACAGAAGCAGAGAAAGCAAATGGAGTTCCAGATAAAGTAGAGGTTAGTTTCAAGGTTAAGTCAATCTGGTCTGACCAGACCTGGTGAATGTCCTCCTGATCAGTCAAAGATTGTTTGTGCTAGTAACTTGCAGTCCAAGCAAGGTACCCACAGTCTTGCTAGTTAAGTGCTTGTTAGGTGAACAAATCCACAAGGGCCGTGACGAGGATCCTCGTCACGGCCCTTGTGGATTTGTTCATTTGATGCATCACGTTAGTGTGATCTCTGTGTGCTTGTTAGGTGTTAAAAAGTTGGCCATATGTTTACTGAGTGGGTGGGTGGGTGGCAGCTTTGGGCTCTTAATGTTGTAGTGTGCCCATTGCACCCGTTCCTCCATGCTTCCACAACTAGTAAGAAGATATTACACTGTAGATTTTTAGCCAGACTCTAATGTTTTCCAGATGTAGACTAGTCTTCTCTCAACTGGATTCCAGGGAATACAATTTAAGAGGTTTAAAGCATTCCCAATAATTTAGGTGTTTGTATATACTGGGAACACGTAAAATCACTTGCAGCTATCCATTTTTATGTACCTTTATTCATCCTAATCTCCCTCAGGGTCTGGCCTCCCTGCTGAAGCTTTTCCTGCTTCAGCAATCTTTGCAGGTTCAGCAGATGGTTCCATAAATACTACAACAACAACTTCATGAAGTTCTTCATGCTTTTCCTGCAGTTTTATGAACTTTGGTTTCTCTTGTGTGTGTAAATGGCAGTAGTTGTATCAGCCCCGCTATATGCATGCAAGACAATAATGTTGTCCCTGATGACTGGTCCATACTTCATGGAGGCTGGTGTGTGTGTGCAGTTTTGTTTTTTGAATTTCTTTTGTCTTGCTTTAGGAAGTTCATGTTTGTGTTTGATCCAGCCAAAGCTGTGAGCATTACCAGGTCTCCATCTTCTCCTATTAGTGTTACTGATTCAGTCTTGGTGGACTCTTTAATAGCAGTATTAACAATCAGTGTGTGTGTGTGTGCATCTTCAGTAGCTTGTTTTATAGTGAAACCTTCAGTGATGAACTTAGTGATGAGCATCTTTTTATCTTGAGGTTATCTTGAGATGATTTCTGGGCTTAGCGTCCCCGTGGCCCGGTCCTCGACCAGGCCTCCTTTTTGTTACACATCACCAGGAAGCAGCCCGTAGCAGCTGTCTAACTCCCAGGTACCTATTTACTGCTAGGTGAACAAGGGCATCAGGGGTGAAAGAAACTCTGCCCATTTGTTTCCGCGGGGATTGAACCCGGAACCTTAGGACTACGAATCCCGAGCGCTGTCCACTTGGCTGTCAGGCCCGTCATTTTGATGAGCCTGCTCTTATTTCTCTCATTTCAAAGAAATTGACTTTGACTTGTTGTTGCTGGCATAGTTTCATCAAGTATGAGGGAGCCGGTCGGCCGAGCGGACAGCACACTGGACTTGTGATTCTGTGGTCCCGGGTTCGATCCCGGGCGCCGGCGAGAAACAATGGGCAGAGTTTCTTTCACCCTATGCCCCTGTTACCTAGCAGTAAAATAGGTACCTGGGTGTTAGTCAGCTGTCATGGGCTGCTTCCTGGGGGTGGAGGCCTGGTCGAGGACCGGGCCGCGGAGACACTAAAGCCCCGAAATCATCTCAAGATAACCTCAAGATCTCAAGAAGGTGTGTCTGGTGGAACAAATCAATCCACGAACATGTTGACGCGGTTTGAGGCTCCCTGTCTGGATGCGGGCGATGAGTCACAATAACGTGGCTAAAGTATGTTGACCAGACCACACTTGACTTGAGAATGGTCCAGGACGGACCGAAACGTCGTCGTCCCTGTCTGGATGTTGCAAAGCTGAAACTTGAAAGTGTGCCAACTTATCATGGTAAGCACACAATTCTAAAATCGAGAGAACATTCCGTAGGTGCTTAGAACCATATTTTTGACCAAGATGAACAGCAAAGCCTATTTGTAAAGGTGATGAGAAAGAATGTGGTCTAGCTGCTGCTAGGATAGCATGTGTTGTTGTACACTTCTTGCTCCATTTACTTTTTCTCCTTTCTTGTTCTTCAAGACAACAGTTTTAACAAGACAATTGAGGGTATCGGGTATAAGAGATTCTAAATCAGTCGGGCATTTATCTTTTGGTGGATACTGATCCGTCACATAAATTTGTGACCTCATATCTTCAGCAATGATTTTTACGACTGTTTTTACTATCCGAAGCCGGTCTTCTTTCTCATCGTCATTACTTTGTTTTTCATGCCAAGCATCAGTCAGAATTTTGTTCACCTGAGTTTACAGATATAACAATGTCTTCTCCATATTTTTGCCTCGGTTCATATTTTATTGTTTTCTCAGTTGATAGGTCACCTTCATATCCCTCAAAAATATCACAAAAAGAAAATTAGAATTCTTGTCAATTTTCCTCAAGATTGGTAAAAGTACGAGTCATTGCCTTTGAAACTGTAGCACTTGTGGAATGATCAAGTTTCATTCCAAAGAAAATAGTGTCCTTAAATTAACATGAAGAGTCTACACACACAGTACACAGGTTCACTGAACAGTCTTGTCCCCATTTGGTTTCGTCCTAAGTTTGGGCTTGGATGGACCTCGTTTTATGGCTCCAAACTTGGGACTTTGGTTTGGGTTTTGGGACGGCTTTGGTGTCCCTGCCTCTGGCATCCTTGACCTAGCTACAATACCACCATATGTTGGTGTTGAGCAGGCACCAGGTAACTCAGTGGTTGCTGGAGCAGCTGTGCAGGAGCCTTTGTCCTCCTCATTTTCCCCTTGGGCAGGGTGTGGCTTTGGAGGCTATTTTGGTTTCTCCGGAGCTGTCGCTTCCACTGTGGACATGATCACTGGGTGCAGACTCCAGGGGTCCTTCGCCGGCTTCCATGTCACCGACTCCCTCTTCGGGTTTTTTGGGGTTCGGTTCCCTGGCACCTTCCTTCACCTTCACTCAATGCCTCCATGGTTACCTCGGCTCTCAGTTGGGGCTTTGTGACCAGTGCTTACCAATCTGGTCAGGGGCTATGGTCCCCTTTCCTTTGTCAGACACACAGTATTGTGCAGGGGTTTACAGCCATGTGGCATACGCTGTGAAGTGTTCGAATCTCTCTGATCCGTAATCTGGCTTCTTTCAGACTGATTCATTATCTGAATCGGAGAAGCTATCTTCGGTCCCTGTCTCTTTGCAGCTGGACTTTACATATACAGTAGTTCATTATCTGGCTTCTCGGGGTTTGGCTATATGTGGTGTTAATGTCCAGGGAGTGTCCAACATCCCGACCCATGGTCTTTCTATGTTCTGTCCCATCTCCATGGAGGGAATTGTTGACGCTGCCTCCTTCCTTTGGCTTTGCTCTTCGGTGTCAGTTTTGGCTGTTTTTTTCTTTCTTGGATTTTTGTGGATCGGCATCTTATGCTGAATACTGTCACCTCGTATCATGCGGCGCTAACGGATCCACTCTAGCTTATGTTTGGGGTCGATACTGCCTTGGCCCTGTTTCTAAAAGCTTTCTTAGGCACTGTTTCACCCTTGGCATGCCTTATGCGCCACCTGAGCCTGCTTGATCTTTAGACCGTGTTCTTTTCATCCTTTCTTCTGGTCATTTCATAGTGTCCCCTTCAGTCTGGAATTGTTTTCTTAAGGCTTGGTCTCCCTTGCTTCCAATTGCCGCATGGGTGAGCTTCAAGCTCTCCTTCGACCCCCTGGGGGTCATCTTGTTTATCTGCAGCCTGCTCCTTCTTTTCTGGTGAAGAATGAGTTGACTTCTGGATGGGTCCTTTGGTGATTGATGCTTGGTTTGGCCAGGGGGTACATCATGTTCTTTGTCTGGTGGTGGCTCTTTGCTGCTACCTTCGTGCCACTGCTTCTGCTTCAGTAGACTTGTTGTGGGTTGGTCCCGTTTCCCTGGTTCTCTGTTCCATGGCTCGTATTTCTCAGGTTGGCCGCAGTGTTATCAAGTCTAGTCAGTCTGCGATCTTCCCTCGTGCCCATGACGTTTGTAAGTTTGCCACTCTCTCTCATGACATATTGGCTGTCTGCCAATATGTCTTGGGCGCTGGGGTTTCAGGGGTTAACCAGAGTCCTAGGAGTCGGGTATCTCATGAATGTTCCTGGTCCTCATCTGCGTTGTTAGGTTTTGGGTTGTGGCCCGTGGTTTCTTCTTCGTTCTGATACCTATGATGCTCCCTCCTTGGTAAGTCCCCTTCTTTACCTTCTCTATGGTTAGATAACTTCAGGAAGCCATTAGGGGGCTCTCCCAGAAAACCATCATTGAAGGTAATGAAACTCTAATTTCTGGATAAGCCACAGTGGCTTCCTGACACCCCTCCCTCCCTCCCCCAGGAAGTCTGGGGTGGTTTTTCAATCATCATAGAACTGAGGGTAGAGCAACTGGCTGACCTGGTTGCCTCCCTCCTTCATTCTCCCAAACGAAGGAGGAGGTGCGGTAAACGAGCTTGCACTAGTTTCGTGAATTTTTTATAATTTGTTTACAGTGTTGGGAGTTCTTTTAGCAATTTTGAAGTGTTGATCTTCCTTCCAACAGTAGTCTGTTTTATTTTGCTGACTTTCTGGGCACTTTGCTGATGATGGCAGAGATGATTAAAAATTAACAGACAATTTTATCATTGTGCCACTTCTCTCTGCGCCTCTTTAGAGGGGGGGGGGGGAAGGTTCTTGCTCGTGGTCCCATTAAGCTTAAAAGAACGCCAGGGTTGATGGCACTTAGTAGTTTAGTAAAGTTGAGAGGGAAGTGTGTGAATGAGAAAAAGCATGCATGATAGGATATTTAATATGATAATAATATTATCTCTAAAGCTTTTGTTCTGCAATGTTCTTTTCAGATATCTGATGAGAACATGGACAAACATGTTAATATGATAAAGAAACTAGAAGAGGAAAACATCTCTCTTAAACAGCAGTTGAAGGATGCCGAGATTCACATAAAACAGACTCAGACTCAGCTGGAAACAACAGCTGCAGCAGCAGCAGCAGCATCAGTAGGAACAAGTGCCAGTTCTGCAGCTGAGGCAAGATGCAGACAACTAGAAGTAAGCCAGACACAAAAATCCTCCTTTCATAATGTCTTAAAGGCGGCCAGTTTTGTTGGCGTGATCAGTGATAACTTTTGATTGATTGCTCAAAGATTTGTATTTTTATGCTTCTATCTTAACCCTTTGCAGATGTTTGATGTACAGTGGCACCTCACACGAACGGACTAATTGAGGATGAATCTGATGTGTTTCATTTACGATCTATTTTTCACGCTCTACAGGCATATTTTATTGAATGAATTCTCAATGTCAACATGTGATATGTTGGATATCTACCAGTAGAACCTGACTGTGAAAAAGTCCACCATTATTGCCATTATTTTCCCGTGCCCGAGCCCTTTGATCTTATTTGATAAAGGTGGAACAACTGTGGACATCTTCAAAAGAAAACTAGATTGTTTTCTCCAAGGAGTGCCGGACCAACCAGGCTGTGGTGGGTATGTGGGCCTGCGGGCTGCTCCAAGCAACAGCCTGGTGGACCAAACTCACAAATCAAGCCTGGCCTCGGGCCGGGCTGTGGTGGGTATGTGGGCCTGCGGGCCGCTCCAAGCAACAGCCTAGTGGACCAAACTCTCGCAAGTCAAGCCTGGCCTCGGGCCAGGCTGTGGTGGGTATGTGGGCCTGCGGGCCGCTCCAAGCAACAGCCTGGTGGACCAAACTCACAAATCAAGCCTGGCCTCGAGCCCGACTTGGGGAGTAGAATAACTCCCAGAACCCCATCAAGCAGGTATTATAATTTTCTACTAAATGTGTCAATGACCCCAGGCCTATACATTTTGAAAAGTACAACACACTTTCTTTTATTCAAGATTTAATATAAAATGACATTGGAGATCATTTGAATTAACATGTAAGGAGGTATGGCATCATAATCATTTTCAGAATAACATTACTGGCATATCCACTGACCGAGCCAAATGTCATCCTCCCACAAATGAAACTTATTAAATCTCGTCACATTCATAATGATAGCCAACTGCTTGTTGACGTTCTTTACAGGCTAGTCTATAGCGGCAACAAAACAACAGCTCAATAAGGTGCTTTTTGGAAACTGAAATATTAATATATTTTCCTTGAACATTGTCCTGGTATATTGCTTCTGGCCTAAAACCTATCATTCAAAGAATACTGATAGATATTGTCAGTATCTACAGAGATAGTTTCTTCTTTCTAATGTACTTAGGCCTACCTTGAGGTGCTTCCGGGGCTTAGCGTCCCCGCGGCCCGGTCGTCGACCAGGCCTCCTGGCCTCCTAGGCAATTGTACATAAATGATATCACTAATCAGGAGAAAATCAATTTCTGCAGCTTAGTTATGTAGTAATTTCTTTATGATGTCAGTTGATGTATGTGTGTTCTTGACTCATCATTCTGCTTTTGTTAATAATTAGGAGGAACTGGACACTATCAAGCGGGAGCAAGAGGACCTCCTGGTGTTGGTGACTGATCAAGATAGCAAAGTGTCTGAATACAGAAGGAAGCTGAGAGGTTATGGTGAGGATGTTACTGATGATGATGACGATGAAGACGATGATGGAGATTATGGCATCAGTGATGATTATGATGATGACTTGGAAGACCTTCAGTGACAAATGGTCTTCTCCTAGAGGAGGAGAATCATTTGAATAGCCAATATGTACAATAATTGAATCATTTGTAATGGTAAATTCAAGGATGCCCATTGCAGGAAACATCATAGGTAACTCATCCATACATTTCCAGTGTACAAATTTTTAATTCGATAAAAGGCAGAGCATTGGAATGTAAACACACACACACACACGCAGAAAAGTTAAATATCAGAGAATGAGTTCAGAACTGTGATAAACATGTAATGTTTTCTGAGACATCTAATTGTTAAATTTTGTGAACTAATTCCATTTTATTTGGTAATTTTTGTATGTAAAGGTTAGCTGAATCGCAATTGAAATAATCACAGAAGGTTAGAGAGCATAATATAGCAACTTACATGAACAAGCTTGTTCGTTTCCTGCTTAGAAGCTTTTGGGATCTATGTCTCGAGAATAAAAAAAAATGCGAACTGTAAAGTATAAAGTATCGCTTCACTTTCTAGTGTGTGGTTTGGTCAGCAAACTGTAAAGTACTATATATAGAAGCAACAGTGGCCTAGCCAGGTGCAAAACCCAAGACCGGCAGAGCAATAGGCATGTAGCAGATGACCACGATCTATTGATCGATACCATGATCAATAGGCATGATCCATAAATGTATCACTGATGGGGTGATGTATACCATCACTGTCAGGGTGATCTAGGGTGGTTCTAGATACTTCTCTTTCACACAGAACACACACAGAACATTGTGCGAGAAACGTATACGTCACTTTCCAACTTCAGAATTGCTTTTAAATACATGGATGATGAAATACTAAAGAAACTGTTCATGACTTGAGACCAAAAATTGGAATATGGAGCAGTTGTATGGTGCCCATATCTCATGACGTTCATCAATAAGCTGGAAAAGGGGCAAAGGCATACAGTACTACAAAATGGCTTCCAGAATTTCAAAAAAAAGAGTTTACAAAGAGAAGTTAGTGGTGTTAAATATGCCAAAGCAAGAAGATAGAAAAAAAAGAGGTGACATGTTTATCACTTCAAAAATAATAACAGGAATCGACCAAATTGACAAAAAAAAAAATCCATACACCAGCCATTTCCAGAACAAAAGGTCACAGATTCAAATGAAGGAAAGAAAGATGACGAAAAAATATTAGTTTCCTTTTGCAAAGTGGTAGACATTTGGAACAAGCTAAGTAAAAATAGGTTGGAGGCTTTAATTATCAGTAGTTTCAAACCGTTACGCTGTATAACAGCCTTTGTATAACAGCGTAACAGCACTCGCTGTTACGCTGTATAACAGCATAAGTGAGTGCTGGGAAGACAGGACACCACGAGCGTAGCTCTCATCCTGTAACTACACTTGGGGTAATTACAAAATCTACAATATGTTAATTTATAACACCAAAACCTATCTGTTGATGCAATAGGAATACCCAGGGAACCCTCCAGTGTAACCTGTAGCTAATATACACTTACTTCGTTCTGGCTATGGTGAGGAGCAGAGGGGAGGAAAAGATGAGGTATTTCTTAGATTTATTACACACTTGTCAAGACCATATTAAACTGTACTCAGAGGAGTACAGATCTAAAAGATATATCATAATGTTCACATGTAATATATTGTAGCAACTGGTACTAATTGTATACACTGAAACCATTCCTTACATGAATACAAGACACTGTAGAATGTACAAAATGTACATCATTCATCACTAAGTCAGTAGTGATGTACATCATCTTATTGATGTACATCAATAAGTAGTAGAGGCCCAGTAAGCACATTTTGAGATCATTTTTTTTAAATATAAAAGTTCTAAAGCCTTCCAGTTCTCACTATTGAAATGTAGTGGAAATTACTATCTTGCCCCTAAATGACATTGCAAGGGAAGTAGTCACATTGCTTTAGACTTCCCAATCAGCCAGGCTAGGATGCCTTTGTTAGATTAAGCTGTAGCACCGGAACTATGAGGCAGTCTGCCACGAGCTGGGAGAGCAGTGGGCCTTGGAAAAACATAGCTACAGAACTTAAATGGGTCCCGCCAAACACACACCGAAACTTCGATGTTGGTACAACGTTCGAAGAAGTTTTAATACCTAACCAGTTATAACAACCAATATAGCAAGTTGTAACAACGTTCTAATACGTCATAAACACGTTAAGCCAAGATGTAACAAGCGGAAAATAGAGACGGTTTCGGTTTGTGTTTCCAGGGGTAGCACCACTGTAGTGCAGTAGTCTACATTCTCCGCTCACAACTGAGGGAGCGGGATTTGGTCCCCGGCAGGGCAAAAAACACATATCCTTTTCTTATGTGTCTGTTCACCTAACAGCAAAATATGTACCCCAAGAGTCACCCAACTGTTGTGGGTTGTCTTCTTGGAAGTCACTAGTTGGTCTGGGGGGGCCCTCAAGAAGCCACAGTATAGGCTTCTTGACCCGGAGAGCAAGAATTATACAAAGTACTGTATGTTGACCAAACCGCACACTAGAAATTGAAGAGATGACGACGTTTCAGTCCATCCTGGAATGGTCCAGAACGGACTGAAATGTCGTCATCTTTTCAATTTCTAGTGTGTGGTTTGGTCAACATTTCTCAGCCACGTTATTGTGACTCTTCATCTGCATAAAGAACTGTATGCATAGATTTACATACATGGATTATCCCAAGTGTTAAGGACATGAGGAAATAATTCAACATTTCCCTAAGTATTGCTTGTGTCGGTGTGACACGCACATGTGAAACTCGGGGTCACTTTTGTCACTCAAATATAAGAATGTACGGAAAGAAAAGTGCACACATACAGCATACATGGGAAAGTAGGATAGAAATATGGGAAGACAGAGGCACAAGTACGTATATGAAAAATGAGAATGACAAAGGAAAAACTGCTAGTGAAACTAAAGTGTATGAGTGAAAAGCAGGTCAATAGATACTGCTCCCTTTCCCCCTCTCACACACACACAAAGTAAAAACATGTGCATGTGTTAACATGCATTTATGGTTCCAACAAGTATACATATTAATACATACAAATGTATATATAAAATATTTGACATTCAAACAGAATGGTCTTCATAGGCAGTGCCTACAAAAGTCTTTTTCCTTACCATTAAATAGTTTGTACCACTTGAAGGAGCTCAAGATTACATTGTGTATTGTCTCATTTGTCTGAAACAAGTATTGAACAAAATTTACCACTTTGTTTTGATTTTAAATATGGTTATAGTTTTGTCTAGCAGTTTTGTTGCTATTTATACTTTTCTCATAAGCTAAATTGCTATTAATTAACCATAGGAATTTGGCCTTAATCCAATATACATGTAATAATGAACAAATCCACAAGGGCTGTGATGAGGGCTCGAACCCACATCGGGACGATCCCAGACGCACCTTAGTCGACTGCACCACGACATTGTCTGAAATGTCGTGGTGCAGTCAACTAAGGTGGGTCTGGGATCGTCCCGGACGTAGGTTCGAACCCACATGTCATGATAATTGTGTTGAGCTTGCCAAGGGAGCATATTGCAAAGTGACAGCTCGTTTTCTATGGATTGGGAGGCCATATTAAAATTTGATTCAATATTGAATTACAGGTGATTGCCAGGCAAGCGACGGCTAGTTAACATCGTGTTTATATTTGTATAGAAGTTAGTGAGTATGTATCCAGTTATGTCCCCCCGTCCCTGTGTCCACCAGGTTGATCATACAGTATCCGCCACGTCATTCTTTCCTTATACATTTCCACTACTTGTCTTGCAGGTGTGTCCACACACCTGTCTATCCCATTCCCTGTCTTGTTAGTATGTCAACACACCTGCCTAACCCTTTCCTGTCTTGCTGGTATGTCCACACACCTGTCTACCCCTTCCCTGTCTTGCTGGTATGTCCACACACCTGTCTACCTCTTCCCTGTCTTACTGGTATGTGTACACACCTGTCTACCACTTCCCTGTCTAACTGGCATGTCCATGTCCTTGGCCATTCTGCCTTGTATCAGTTTTCTATTCCTCTGTCTGAACACTTAGCTCGTACTAACTGTCCTTAGCGCTTATTTCTAGATAAACAGAAACACCGTAGAAGATATAGGAGCAGGTCGCTGTAGAAAGCGGGCACTGACTACTCTGCGTGTGTATTTATATATGAAAATATTTGAATGTGAGTACTCCTATCGAGTATAGATTTACAAAAATTACATATCTGTAATAAACTAGCGGTGTTGAGGTTTTAGCGACTTTACATCACCTAGTGGTAATATTTTGAACAGAAATAGTGTGTTGGGTGTTTTCTTTACAGTAAGTGCAGTGTGCCACTAGCTGCATTTGCTGCTAAATGCTGCAGTACGGTTGTGCATTTAAACGTAAGTATAGGAAATTATAGATTCATTATTGATCAATTTTAATATTGTACATTTATCTTCACAGAAATGGTGCTGTAATTTTTATGTATACTGTACAGTATTAAAGAATTACTGTATTTTTTGGCAGATGGCATGCATGCTTTCTGGTCCAGGTTCAAAATATTGCTTCCCCCTACAAAGCATCTTAAACTTCACCTTCAGTAAATGTACAAGGAAACTTACAAAAATTTTTTTTTTTTAAAACTATCCTCACAGAATAGTTGCATCTTATATGTCAGAAAATACAGTACAGTACTCTGGGTATAGTGTGTTTCAGAGATTTGAATACTTTTGTAAAAGGATTTATTGTGTGAATAGTTACAGCGTAGGTTTTTGTGTATACACCGTACTTTAGGTCGTGAGAGCCTTGTCCTTGTACACATGTGGCTACAGGGTCACATGTGGTCTCTCTTTGTCAGTCTTTGTGACTTTATTTTACTTGCTGTTCAGGCGTTCTACGGTATTTTCTTCAGTTTAGTCCTTTTAGTTTTTCTAATAAAAGAGAGGTTCAGTAGTTCTGAAATGTGCACTGGATGGTGGACTGTAGTAAATAGTCCACATCTTTCATGAGATTTTGTTACGTATTGCTGCATTGTTAACATTTATTTATATATAAAAAGATAAACTATCAACTTTTTTGTTTACATAAAATGAATCCCTTGATTGGTTATTTAGAAAATATAAGACAGGACTTCTGAGAGGAAGGTGAGTACAGTAGCAGTCTAAGATGACGGCTTTGCTGAGTGTGTTACAGTGAACTCGGCAGTGACATTAGATGGTGTTGCTCTGCTCTTCTCTTCTGCAGGGCAGATGAATGTACCTTCCGAAGCCCAGCTTCTAGATAGATAATAGGAACCAGAATGTTGACCAGACCACACACTAGAAGGTGAAGGGATGACGACGTTTCGGTCCGTCCTGGACCATTCTAAAGTCGATTGTGCACAATCGACTCGAGAATGACGTCGTCATCCCTTCACCTTCTAGTGTGTGGTCTGGTCAACATGCTTCAGCCACGTTATTGTGACTCATAGTGAAAGAACCAGCCTGCACAGGAACCAGAATGAGAGTCCTTGACCTTTTAGTGGGAGTTGTGTGGATTTTGAAACACAATTGTTCTCTCGTTCCCCTCTCTATATTTGGCTTTCGCAAGTGTCGTTGCACAACTGACATCTTGGTATATCTGAGGTGTAAAAATGTCATGCCTTTTATTTTTTTTGCTAATAACTGTTCTGACTTTTTTTTTATTATTATTTACCTAGAGAAAGCATAAAGCACCATCTAGAGGTATAATGTATTAAATCAATTCCGCAGTTCCAAATCAGCAGTCTCCGTGGTGTAGTGGTAAGACACTCGCCTGGCGTTCCGCGAGCACTATGTCATGGGTTCGTATCCTGGCCGGGGAGGATTTACTGGGCGCAATTCCTTAACTGTAGCCTCTGTTTAACGCAACAGTAAAATGTGTACTTGGATGAAAAAACGATTCTTCGCGGCAGGGGATCGTGTTCCAGGGACCATAGGATTAAGGACTTGCCCGAAACGCTACGCGTACTAGTGGCTGTACAAGAATGTAACAACTCTTGTATATATCTCAAAAAAAAAAAAAAAAAAAAAAAAAAAAAAAATTACATTCTCTAGGCTTCCAAGACAATTTGCTGCTCTTCCTGCAAACCTTCCTTTCCGACTGTACCTGGAATTTTCTCTGTGCTTCATGTGGAGACCTCACCATTTGCCGCAGCAGTGGTGATTTCTCCCATCATCAGTGTCATGCTCCAGCTAGTGATTGATAGTGTGTTGTCGTAGGCTACCTGCATGGCTTCCAGGTTTCTCTGGGTAAGGCTGGTACAGTACTGAACTTTACTAGATGGCTTGGTGTTCCCCCATGCAGCTTTGTTGCTTTACAGGAGTCCCCTTGGATATATAGATAGTGTAAAGCTCTTGGGGCTGATCTTTGACACCTGCCGATCTTAGTCATCCATGTTCATTTATTTATTTATTTATACAAGAGTTCTTACATCTTGTACAGCCACTAGTATGCGTAGTGTTGCGGGCAGGTCCTTAATCATATGTTTCCTGGAACACGACCCCGCGAAAAATCGTTTAACAACCAGGTACCCATTTTACTGTTAAGGATTTGTGCTCCAGTATTGCAGTGGGGTATTGATTTGGGGCGTCTGACAGCTGGGTGGACAGCGCTTCGGATTCATAGTCCTGAGGTTCCGGGTTCGATCCCGGTGGAGGCGGAAACAAATGGACAAAATGTTTCTTTCACCCTGATACCTAGCAGTAAATAGGTACCTGGGAGTTCAACAGCTGCTATGGGCTGCTTCCTGGGGTGTGTGTAACAAAAAAAAAGAGGCCTGGTCGAGGACCGGGCCATGGGGACGCTAAGCCCTGAAATCATCTCGAGACAACCAGTAAATCCTCCCTAGCCAGGATATGAACCCTGGACAAAGCGCTCGTAAAATGCCAGGCAAGCAGTTTACGAGCGAACCACTACACCATGGAGACTGGACATTACCTGCATACTAAGTGCTTCTAGGCTCTTTCCTTATTCAACACCTTATCACATACCCCTTTTGGGGTAGTAAGACATAAGATTCTTTATTTGCATTTTTGCTTGGTCCTGTCTAAACTGGCCTACAGTTGGTCTCATAATCTTCAGCTTCACTCTCCACCATTCATCACCTCAATGCTCTGCATCATACAGGGTCGAGCCTTGACTCTAGTGTCATTCACTGTTCTCCAGTTCAGAGTTTATGCGTGGAAACCGGTGTCCTTTACCCACATGATTATCATCAACGGTGTTGTCTTAGATACTATGCATGTTTCCTTTAACACCCCGTCATTCTCCTTCATGCTGTGCCATAATTCATGCCCATTGTGAGCCCAATTCCTCCTACCTTACATTCTTTTGCTGCCATGATAGACTGTTTATGGGATTCACTCTTGGATAAAATCAGTAATGTGTCCCCTGTGTTGTTCCTATCTTGTGAAGTTTTGCAAGTCCCTGACCATTGTGGTGATAGCTTATACCCCTCCATAAGTCATGAACACACTCTTCCTTCAACATTTTCACTGCCCCTTGTGCTCGACGGCTGTGTTTATAGATGGGTCAAAGTTTGCTGACAGCATTAGCTATTCCATTATTTTCCTGAGCAAACCTGTATGTGTGATGCTGTTCTCTAGAGACTTGCATTTTTACAGCAGAGTTTATGCTATACTGTATGCTCTCTTGTCATCTACTTTCTATGCACCAGTGTTCTTCAGTAATTGTGGTTGACTCCTGCAGAGCACCCATGACCTCGAAGTCTTTCAAACCTTCCATCCTGTACTGGCTCTTCAAAATACTCATAATCCGCCCAAGTAAAACAGAAACAAGCAACACTTAGTGGGCAAGTCACAGGCTTAGGGCCCGCACAGGAATATCCCTGCAAAAAAAAAAAATCTTTAGCAGGTATAAAACTTGAATTGTGCTGGTTCCCTAGTCATATTAGTGAAAGTGTGGGATGCCACCATTTACCCAGGCATGTAGGGGGAAGGAGTGAGGGGTGCCACCTGCTACTCCCAGCCTGTAGAAGGAATGTCAGGTGCCACACACCACCCCGGCTTGTAGCGGAAGGCGTGTGGAGTGCCACCCACTACCCTGCCCTGTAGTTGGAGGAGTGGGGTGCTACCCTACCATCCAGGAGAATGTGGATGGGGTGCCACCTGGCCTGTAAAGGAAGGAGTGTTGGGTGCCACCTTCCACCCTAGTTTGTAGGGAAAGGAGTGTTCGTTGGGTGCCACCTGCCTCCCTAGCTTGTAACGGGAGAAATCTTATCTTAGGATGATTTCAGTGCTTAGCGTATCCCGCAGCCCAGTCCTCGACCAGGCCTCCTTTTTGTTACACACCTCCAGGAAGCAGCCTGTAACAGCTGTCCAACTCCCAGGTACCTATTTACTGCTAGGTAACAGGGACATCAGGGTGAAAGAAACTCTGCCCATTTGTTTCCACCTCCACCGGGGATCAAATCTGGAACCTCGGTACTACGAATCCGATGCACTGTCCACTCAGCTATCGGGTCAGAAATGAGGGGTGCCACTCAACACCATAGCCAGTAGGAGGAATAACAGATGCCACCCACCACCTGGCCTGTAGTGAGAGTAAGAGATGCCACTATAGTGGAAGGAGTGACGGGGGTGGCACCCACCATTTCGGCTTGTAGCAGTAGTAGTCTCCGTGGTGTAGTAGTAAGACACTCGCCTGGCGTTCCGCGAGCGCTTTGTCATGGGTTCGTATCCTAGCTGGGGAGAATTTACTGGGCACAAATCCTTAACTGTAGCCTCTGTTTAACCCAACAGTAAAATGGGTACTTGGTTGTAAAAACGATTCTTCGCGGCATGGGGGTCGTATTCCAGGGACCATAGGATTAAGGACTTGCCCGAAACACTACACGTACTAGTGGCTGTACAAGAATGTAAGAACTTGTATATATCTCAAAAAAAAAAATAGTGCGGGGTGGCATCTCCATCCCCGGCTTGTAGCCGGAAGAGGGAGGGGTGCCACCCCTCAACCCTCGGTCTGTAGTGGGAGGTGTAATGGGTGCCACTGTCTACCCTCTGGCCTATAGCAGGAGTAGTGAGCAAGTAACCAACCAAGCCTGCCCGAAACGCTGCGCGTGCTAGTGGCTTTACAAGACTGTAATTACCATATTTGTATCCTCACATTCCTTATGTACATTCTTGTATATGCATAAATAAATAAATAAATAAATAAATAAATAAATAAATAGTGAGGGGTGCCATCCACCACAATGGCCTGTAGTGGGAGGAGTGAGAGGTATCACCCGCCTCGGTGACCTGTAGCAGGAGTGAGGGTGCTACCTGCTATCCGGTATTTAGCAGGAGTGAGGGGGTGCCACCCTTCACCCCAGCCTGTAGCCGGATTGGCGAGGGGGTGCCACCCGCCTCCCCAACCAAGCCTTTTTAAATTAAATTTAAATTTTGCCCCAAGGGGCAAGTTTAATGGGCAGCGTCACTCATCCTGTGAGTGGACACACCACCATAGTGACAGTATTGGGCAGCATCACTCATCCTGTGAGTGGACACACCGCCATAGTGACAGTATTGGGCAGCGTCACTCATCCTGTGAGTGGACACACCGCCATAGTGACAGTATTGGGCAGCGTCACTCATCCTGTGAGTGGACACACCGCCATAGTGACAGTATTGGGCAGCGCCACTCATCCTGTGAGTGGACACACCGCCATAGTGACAGTATTGGGCAGCGCCACTCATCCTGTGAGTGGACACACCGCCATAGTGACAGTATTGGGCAGCGTCACTCATCCTGTGAGTGGACACACCGCCATAGTGACAGTATTGGGCAGCGCCACTCATCCTGTGAGTGAACACACCGCCATAGTGACAGTATTGGGCAGCATCACTCATCCTGTGAGTGGACACACCGCCATAGTGACAGTATTGGGCAGCATCACTCATCCTGTGAGTGGACACACCGCCATAGTGACAGTATTGGGCAGCATCACTCATCCTGTGAGTGGACACACCGCCATAGTGACAGTATTGGGCAGCATCACTCATCCTGTGAGTGGACACACCGCCATAGTGACAATATTGGGCAGCGCCACTC